GCTCTATATTATAATTTTGCTCTTATCAAAAATAATTCAAAACTTTCGAATATATTTTTAGCTGCTTTATATAAATCAAAAAATTTAAAACACTTTGGCAATGATCCGTTTTTTAAACACGTTTAGCTGATGAATTAAACTGTCTCTAGAAAGAGATGGCATTTCTATAAAGACCTTATGTGGCACAAAAAAATGTGAATTTTATCTTGGGTTTAGTTATTGGTGATACTTTAGCATTCTTTTAGCCTCATACTTTAAGTACTAATTGTTTTTATAATTTTAGCAAATATTTTTCAGCTAATTATTTCTGTAGATGTTCGCAAAAATAATAAATTAGTTACCAAATATTTGGCTAAAGATGAATTAACGCTTCGAAACATTCAAAATTATAATACAGATGTTTAAATAAACAACTTTTAATTAAAATGTGTTAACGAACAGTGTATTTTAAATAAAATCAATATGTTTCACATGTTACGACAAATTACTGTGTCGACATAATGCACGATCGTCTTATTGAAGGCGTTTGTCACTAGAATCTGTGTCGCATTCTTAGTTATTACTTAATTATTATACGCAATTAATTTAAAATCGTTTACACGACACAATGCGGGGCGCAATAACACACAACGACGTGAACGAGCGGTTGCGGTAACCGCTACGTTTTGCGCGTGGTTAACATACGACGCGCGAGTTGCCAAAAATGGTAACCTCCGGCCGGCGCGTCCAGGTCCGAAAACGCCGCGTTATACAAAATGCCGATACCGGATATCATTATAGAAAATGTCTCGACGCATTGTCATGTAGGTATCGAAAGATACACTTGGCAAATATTATGCGCACGGGCAACCTCCGGCCAGCATCCAAGACCGGTGCGGTACGCACGGCGGCTGGATCGCGGAGGGGCGCGGGCCCGCTCGTTGACGGGCCGCGGACAATTACGCGAAGTCGTCACTCGTTATACAAAACGTACGATGATGTCCGCCATTATGGGACGGTTAGACGATATCGACAGTAACTGTTGTAACGCCGGAAAATTCACATCTGCCGGCCTGACGACGGGGTCGTCGTGCAAAACACGCGCACGCAGTCGGCCGCGTCGCCGTGGTAAAACGAGCGCTCTTCGCGATAAAAATAAAATTACAAACCGACCGAATGTTACCGTCTCTCGAATCAACGTACTGGCTGGCCGCGCGGCGCGCGACGAAGACGAGACTTTAGGACGAGCGCCAGTGCAAAAGTCACGGACGACGCGACGGTTCGACGGTCGCCGGTAGAAATGACGAGCGCCCGGCGAGCGGTGCGAACGACGGCAACGGCGAACGTCGTCGCCCGTTCGCGGTTTTCCCATTGCGTCGAGCGAACGGCCGGGCGCGGGCCGGTGTACAACTAGTTCGACCAATTTTCAGCGATACCAACTCACGTTTTTCAAAATTATCGTATTGTATTATACACAGACCGCGATATCATGGCATCCGACGATCGCAACGTGGTCCAAGGTCGTCGTATAATTATTATCCCCGTCATTTGGCGACGATCGCCGCACTGACATGACTTGTGATACGGGTATAATACGGGACAATAACGGAAAATTGTGGGTACTTTGTGCACAATGTACTACTATTATCCGCTGCCGAATACTTATCGGTACCGACTTACTTTATTTTACACGAGGTTGCCGACTTTTTAAAAACGAATTGTCTACTTGCCGGCCAATTTACAGGTATTTTTCATAATAATTTGCTACTATCGTTTTGAGAAACTGGCGAATTAGCCGTCAAAAAAAAATTCGACAACTCTACCATACTGGATGATAGTGTTTTATTCAATTGTAAGAAAGAAAAGAAAATCGTTTTTAATTAATGTCTTATAAACTTTTGTAGGTACATTGTAAAAGAAAACGGACATACTTCGCACATGAATGCAGCCATTGTTGTGGTTGGGAATTTGTGAAGGTAGGATACAGACGGGAATTTAATGTATATCTGTAAACAACGATAAACCGTTCTAATGAAAAAACGATTCTGAGGGGAGTTCAGTTGATAGTATTGCTTCGTCAACAATATATATATATATGTTATATTATGGTAAATGATTACAACAAGGTGCGTTTCCATGACAACAATGATTGTTTGAAAAAGATTTTAAAATAATAAAATTAATTTTAATAATAACAAAATAAAAATAAATGACAACAATGACAACAAAAAGCCGTTAGATTTTTTTACTTATACCTACATTTCGTACATTTTTTTTTTTCTCATTTGTTGGCATGTCCGCTAAATTAGAGTGATGCGAGAAATAATAATAGGTATGCACATCCGATACTAAATTTACCCCAGGAGGCATATGATACTACGAGTTCAGTGAACCGGGGATCCGAGCACATACTGACGGAAAGCTCAGGTGGATGATTCCGGTAGGCATAATGTATGATATTGTTTCCGTAGGGTCTAGTAATTCACATTATAATTGACAATACAATTCTTCTGTGTCGAACTTTTAATATAGGTGGCCATTTGAAAATCGAAATTATGTAGGTGGTCGTTTCGACCCCAAAAATACTGACAACGTAACATTTTTTGAATATAAGATTCCAAAAAGTTTTTACATAAGTCTTTTTTTTTTTTAAAAAATAAGTATTTCATAGCGAATTTGACTTTAACATAAAATTTAAATTGTGTATTATACATACACAGTATCTCACGAAAATAGATCTACGATGTACCTACCCAATGTAATAAAGATAATTAAATTTGGTTTTTTTTTTCATATTACTCGCAGAGAATATAGGACTAAATATTTATATTTCAATCATTTTTTTTTTGTTTTGATAAAAATCTTAATAAAAATAACTTTTTATTTTATTATTTTTGAAAAATTTGATGACGGCCATTCTATAGCTTGTTGTATAATTATAGGTATTATTTTCTGGACTTTATGAAACGATTAAAAATCATAAATTTAATGAAAATAAAGTTGAAACGTCTAAATGTTTAAAAGAATATAAACTTTATAAAATGGCTATGTTTAAATTTTTTGAAAATAATAAAAAAGAAAGCTATTTTTTTAGTTATTTACCAACACATAATTTGTAGTCCTTATCTCTGCGGGCTGCGACTAATAAAAAAAAAAAAAAAAACAGAATTATATACAATGGGTATATTTTGTTTACAACAACCTAGTGTCTTTTATCTATGACACATTTTTTTTGTTTATTATAAACATTAAAGATTATTAATTCGACGTGAAGAAAATAAAATCGATTAGTAACACCATTTCCAAATGCAGGTACACCTACAATTTCTCGAATATTGTTGGGCAATGGCAATAAATTGTACTCGTAGTAATAATTAAATTACTTGTGTAGTGGAACTTATGAGAATGCTATAAATTAAAATAACGATTTAATAAAAGTGCGAAAATTAAAATTAATACCTATATAGGTATTATTCACATTTCACAGTGATCACAGCTCAACGGTCGTAATCCTATCAGTATATATGTTCATGGTCATAATTCATTGGAAAAATGAGTGATAACGTTAACGAAGGTGGTGTGATAGCTGACTGATAAGTGATTAACCCGCCTGAGGGCGGAGGGGTCCCGGTGAGTGCAAGTTCATTGCATTCGAGCTTAGATATGTCTAAATCAATCACAATCCGATCGACTTTGCGATCACTTTCAATTTCGCCACAGAACTACGTGTTTGTTACCCGGACGCTGCAACGTGCATTCACCTCCGCTGCCACTACCGTCTACAACTGCGACGACATGTCGGTCGATCAGACAACGGCCAAGACTATGTGGTCGTCCAAAATGATCGCATGGCAAGCTCACTCCTACAGTACCATTGACGATCTAGTGCTGACCAGCAACGCCAGATCGCCCGTCATGGTCAGACCCAAAGAAGTATTGGTTCGAATCAAAGCGTCGTCCGTCAACCCACTAGACATTATGATGGCCGGTAAACATTGAATTCAGTGTGCGTCGTGATAGTTAATTTGTTCATCTAATATGTCTACAATTTCCAGAGGGTTACGGCCAGGTGCTATTGGGTACTATTCGCCAAGCACAACAGTTGTCTCTCCACAAACCAGTAGAGTTCCCATTGACACTGGGACGAGACTTCTGCGGGGAAATCATAGCCAAGGGAGTAAAAGTCAAGAACGATTTGAATATTGGTGATATAGTTATGGGTGTTGTACCCCCTTTCCATCAAGGGTGTCATGCTGAATACGTTACAGTTCCTGATGGTCTAGTACGTCACAAAATAATATTAACCATACTTATCATCAAATTAACATAACTAAATGGATAGGTATTTTAATATTATAAATTGCTATTAATATAATTTGTAGGTTGCCAAGAAACCTGCACATATTACTAACGAAGAAGCAGCAGGTCTATTGTATACAGGTTTAACTGCTTGGGCTGCTTTAAAAGTAGCTGGAGGGTTGTGCGTTTTGAAAGCGGCCGAAAAAAACATACTAGTCATTGGTGGATCTGGTGGTGTTGGTAATTGTGCTATACAATTATTGAAACATTGGGGAGCAAAGGTAGTTTATTCATTTTAAAAAATTACTACTTAATGATGTTTATAGCTGAACGTCCACTAAACTGGTAGAATAAAGTGGCACATAGTTTTTAGATTTGTCTGGTACATGAAACTAACACGATACAACGCATATTTATTTAATTATTAGTTACTTATCAATTTTTGTTGAAATTACTTGTTTTGGAATTATGTCACACTGATCTGTTCTACCGAATTAGTTAACACTGCTTAACAAACCAACATTTTTAACTTTTTAAAATATCTAAATTAATACTTTTTATAACATTTCATTTTATTAAATTGTACATTAAGATAAAATTTATTTAATCTTATATTGAAAAGGTAAATTAAAGTTAGGTTTTTTTTTTTTTATAAATAGTGAGTTTTTTGTTTTATAGTACTGTACATTTTACATTCTTTAGTAGTTTATTTTGCACAATTGTCAAGATAATAACATTTTTAATGTTTTACTTTTTCAAACAGGGATTGCTTAGAAAAATAAAAACATCAATGCAAAACTTATACTCTCTTCTAAATCTAAGAGTTAGAATATGAAGTTGCTATAGAATCAATGTGTAATATTATTGGTTTTATAAAATGTAATACTTATTTTTATCTGAAGAGTAATGTACCTATCTATTTTCTATTTTTCTTTCTTTAGTTAGACAAATAGACAAATATCACAATTGTAGTAAAGCTGAATATGATTCAAATAATCATAGTTAATTTATTATAGGTATATATTTTTAATTTTGAATGTTTAACATAGTGATTTAAATTTAAAATGTTCAACAAATTTTTAAATGCCAAGTATCATATTTTTATATATTTAGATAAAAGTACTGTAATGCCATCTCTGATAATTTATTCTTTTATTCCATTTTTATTTTATTTATTCTTTGATAATGATTGTTCGTGATTTAAAATGTATTTTAAATATTTTAGTTTAACTTAATTGGCAATCATATTAGTATAATAATAATAAATTATTATACAGGTATTTTGAAGTATGTGCATAATTCATACAGTTCTAAACATTAATAAATAATACTTATTTATTAATTTTAACCAATTTCACAGTAAAATGTTTCTCCATCAGTATTTATTATGTTTTTTCATTGGTTTATTTAGAATTATATACATATATTATATATTATTTACAAGTAAAAAAAAAAAAAATAACATTAATGAATACTTTATACTTAATATAAATTTAAGAAATTATTAGTCATTAAATGTATGTAATATTTAATCATAAAGATAAAATATTGTGATAAATGATTTGCATTGATTAAAAATTAACTTTGTGTTAAAAATAAAAAATTCCATTGTTAATAATAATACTAAAATAATTTTTCATAAGCTTGTATTAGATGTTGAAATTTATTTGTATGGTTTAATGAAAAATAAAAACCAATCATGTCTTAGTTTTAATATGAAAACAATTATAAATAAATACCAGTAGTAATCTTAAATCATAATTTTAAATATAGATTTACCTATACAAATTATTTAAAAATCATTTGAAAACCCGTTTAATAATATAATGATTAATTAATTATTTGGTTTATTATTTATTCAGGTCACTACTACCTGTCATTCAAATGCCATAAGTCTTGTGAAGGGACTTAAACCAGATAATATTGTAGACTATACTACTAAAGATGTACAAAAACAGTTGGAACAGTTTGGAAAGTACGTAAAATCTGATTATGAGTACTAATCTATAAAACAAACTGACATACTTTGCACGATGGTTGGTGAGATTGAAAGTTGGTATGGTGAGACACTGTTGAAGGTGAGAAGGTAGAGGGGAAATCGTTTTTAATCTATTTCTAACGATTAATCATTAATAACGAAAAACAATTCTGAGTGGAGTTTGGTTGTACATATTTTGAAAGGCTGTAATATTTATGATTTAAAAATAATACATTTCGTACATTTTCCCGGTTTTCCTATGTTTTTTCCTAGTTTTTCCTATTTATTATAAAAACCCTTGGAACATCAAAAAAAGATCTGCCTAAAGTATCACCCCACATCAATTTTATTTCAGAAAAAGTGCTACACTTGATATTCGGAGTGAAATTTCTGGTGTAAAAGTTGTTCATATAAAAAAATTGGATAATAATAAACATCATTGTAAAAACAATATATATATACTATTCCTCGCTTTGCTTAAAATTTATAATGAAATTTCAGACTGCTAATAATTAAATTATTTTAATTTCTATTTTAATTATGTGGACTGCAATTTGTTTACATTATATTATTTTTTAGTAATTTCAGATTCAATCATTAGTTTTTGTTTATTAAGAGGATGTTATACCCGTATCTACTGTCTCAGTACAACTACCGGGTAACATGCAAAGATAATGCTTATGCAAAATAAATAAAATATGCTTAATTTTGATTTTAGGGTTAAAGTACCTATTATAGAATTCATAGAGAACAATATTTTGGTAGAAATGTTATAGGATTTTTGTGTTATTTAAAATATACAATTCGATATAAACAATACAAAAAATTTATTTTTTGTTTTTTAAATTACTAATTTTTTTAATAGTTCATAATTTAAAAAAAAACTCGTGACATTCCCTCAAAAATATTGTTCTCTATAAATTCCAAAATTCGTACTTTTACTCTAAAATCAAAATTAAACTAGTTTTACTTATTCTGTATAAGCATTGTTTTTGAATGTTACCAGTAGTGAGACTGAGACAGTAGATGCGGGCATAACATCCTCTTAATACAATATTATTTATAACCTCTTCAATTAATGTATTTTTATGTTGTGTAATTTAACAATTAAATAAAACAATTAAATGTTATTTATTGCAGTGCAAATTATAAATAAATTAATCTTTTGTTTTTTTTTTTTGTAGGTTTGACTTAATTCTGGATGCAGCTGGAATACCCTATGATAATATCAGTACTTATACACCTCTATTAAAAGGTTGGTCATGTTCTGCATTTATTACACTCCGCAGTCCAATTTTACAAAATACAGATTCTTATGGCTTCTTTGGGGGAATGTTTAAGAATGCTATTGACCTAGTTGTTCCAAATATTTTATCTGGAGCAGTATTCAAAGGCTCTTCATTTCGATGGGGCACTTTTATACCTTTAGAGAGTGGTGTTAAAGAACTAGCAAAATTAGTTGTAGAAAAAAAAATGATAATTCCTATAGAAAAAACATATAAATTCATGGACCTCAAAGATGCATACAAGAGAGTACAAGAAGGCCATCTCAGGGGCAAAATTATTATAACTTTTGATAAACCAAGCTTAGATAAGGCCAGATTAACTAATTGAGAATTATTTATCATGGGGTGAGAATTATTATAAATCTAATAATCAATTGTTATACTTGACTTCATTGCTTGTTAATATTTTATTAATTTTCTATACAAATTTCCGTGTAATAATATAATATTTATATTGTTGAAATAAAATTGCTTTTAGTTATTATTGGTTTTATTTATTTTCATTAATAATTATGGATTGTCTCGAGATTTATTAATTTTAGAAACTAATATGGCATATTAAAAATGTCGAATTTATAATTTTTAATAAACAAATTATTTTTGTATAGCTATATTATTCTAGAACCAAAATAAAATTTAAAATTTAAATCACAACTTGAAAATAATAATAGAATATTATCCCCTTGTACAAATTGAATGAAAATAAAATAATAAGAACTTAATAATAATAATTAACTCCATGAAGAAGCTGGTCAAATATAGGTCGTAGTAACAGAGATGCAAGCAGAAAATGTTTACGTCTTAATTATGAAACTGAGCTGGAAGAGCTATCTAATACAAGAGAAAGTAATTAATTTTACTTTTGATTAGAAATATGGAAATGTCTGTTGAATGTGAAGTTTATGTTAGTCATGACAAGGATATATATAGATCACACAGAGTTAGGGAATTATCTGAACCCGTGAGGGCTGTGTATATTTGTGGTTTAACAAAGTGAATTTTGCAATGAATTAAGATTCTTCTACGATTACAATAACAATCGTATCGTTTTAATAAGTAAAATATCTATTGTCTGTAAATGTTTTGCTATGCTTCGAAATGGAACGATGAGTCTAAATGTTAATTTAGAAAAAAGTGTTTAACCAAGCCCCACTCAAAAAAGTCTCACCAGCAGTGGCACTAGTGTTTCCGGTTTATTCAGGGCAATGGAAAATCTAGTATTACAATTATCTAGATAAGTTTTGTCATCTCTATCTTGACAGTGATCATCACAGCTTTTTTTTTATCTGATTTTTAAGTGTAGTACCTTTTCTGAAAGGAAATCCATGTGAGGATAGGTACTTTAGGAAGGTATATTTTTTTATTTTCTCAAGAGTTTTCTCATCAAATAAAAATGTATGAAATAGATTACTAAAATACAATTTTTTTTTCGGTGCACAACTTTTCTACCAGCTATTCTATTCCAATTTATAATAATAGCAATGTTTCTTAAAGGAGACATGTCTGAAGAAATACTTTAGGGAGTTTGTTTTTCGATTTTCTCAGGAGTTTTCTTAGGAAATATGAAAAACAAGGAAAAAACCAGGAAAACATTAAAAAAAATATTAAAGAAAATATATAAAGCTTATCATAGGCGCAACTAGAGGGTGCTGAAGCACCCCAGTTAAAAAACGACAAAAATTGAAAAATAGTGTAAAAAAAGCAATCCTAGAATAATGTAGACTGGGGTAACCACTAGTATAGGTAATTCAATATACAATTGTAATTGAAATCGGATTGGGGAGGTACTGTAAGGTCATTTTTCGATAATTCGAAGAACGGGAAAATCGGTACACTATTAAACAAATATAATTAAAGAAAATAATATATAATGTCTAAAATATCGAATCTTATGGAATGATTATAATAAAGATATGGATAAGATCCGTGTGCAATTTTCCACACCACCTTGGCTATCGAAAAACGCCAATGAAATATTATTACGAGTATTTGACGTTATTCGAAAAGCGTATGAGGTTTTGCACGAGGCGCGTTTTTTTTATAGTGGTGTCCCCGAGTAGGCCTAATCCACTGTGTCGATTAACCTAACCTTACCTTAAATCCATAATATTACACTCTATAATGTAATACGATCACTGAATTCTCGTTCCTTGAAGTCATCCGCAGCTACCAGCAATCTTGGCTCGAAGAGTTCGCGTGCAAATAAACCGATAAAAAACCATAAAAGAAAAAAAAGATTTACGAAAAGATAGAAAAAAACACTATTGTTATACCGATGAAAAAAAAAAAAAATTAAACTATTGAAAATTTTTAAAGAAATGATTATAAAACAATTCAGAAAAATAAAAATTTAAAAACGACAATGGATAAAACAAATTTAAGAAACATGATTTACTACGATTAGATTAAATACGCGTGCAATAAACAAAATAATATTATTGCTAACATTATAAGCCAGCGCGTGGTTTTGCGATATTTATTATCATAAATAAATAAATAAATACTATTAATCAGTAAACATACCTACAATTATTGTTACTTTGGCGCATTTTGGTACTGATAGTGCAACCGATACGTGTTTTCAGCAAGGTAATTTTAAATGCCTCGAATAATATCCGTATACAATTCCATGATTTTACGATTGATCGATTTTCATGAAAATCATAAAAATAAAAATAAAAAGACGGACATACTTTACACGTGGGTGCACTTCAAAACAGGTGAACTGAGACAATTTATCTCCTGTTTTGAAAAGTGGAATAGTAATTGCTAGTTTCCGTATCTTAGGGAAAACACTGTTTTTTAAACGTAAATCAAAGGATATATTATGTATTCAGCTACGTGTTTAAACATTTTAGCCGTAAATCCATCAAAACCTGCCGCAATGCCCTCCTGAAGCTTCATTATGATGTGAAGGACCTCAGATTGTTCTACTTTGGCAATGAAGCAACTTCGAAAAGATACATTTGGATAAGGTAGGTACTTCCTATTTTATACTAGTTGAGTTTATACTTGCAAAAGATTCTGACCAACATTAATAAACAAATCATTAAGAATATTTGATACTCTATAAGGATCGGTAGGTCTTTCTTCTTTTCCGGATTTTCTATTTATGTTCAAAGATAAATATAAATTATAGATTTTTAATAATAATACATTTTGTTCAACATTCCTTGTTTAAATATAATAATATGCTCATAAAAATTGTATCTGCTTACCTAAGTAATCTTCTTAATCGCTGTTGATATATACAAGTGTTTTCCACCCTTTGGGGGGGAGGACGTGAACACATTGCAGAGGAGACGTAAACATTAACATTTACAATGTAAATTTTATATAAAACAGGAAAAAACCAAAAGATTAATAACGACTTGTCACCGCTAAAGCTAAGATAATCAAAAATAATAATATCAATATTTAAAATAAAATTCTCTTAGATGCCAAATAGACTCTACGTGCTGTCTCTCTAACATGGAACCAAACATGAAAAAAAAAATCGTCCATAGAAAAGTGTTATCAGCTTTTTTGATTCATTATTATTTATTTTCACAAAATTATAAAATATTATTCACATTACCATTATTACATAATTTCATTGTAATTATTATTATTATCAATAAAATAATAGACATTACGAACATTGTTGTGTTGTTTATTTTCAAATTATACCAAAAAAAATTAAATAAAAAATGGTCATTATTTTTTCAATGAATAGGGGCGAGGGCGTGAGATTCGTGAAAATCCACATTAACGGGTGCACGGAATAAAATAGACTGGGAATCATTGATCTACGTGGATCTAGTTTAAGTAAATAATGCGCTTACTTAGTAATAGATACATTAATAAAAAAAAAGGAGAGTCATCTATGTCTCATCGTTATACGCCGGGTCTATGCGGCGGTGATACCTGATATTGTACATTTGTACCTATTCGATAACTTCGAGATAACCCCAATTCGTAACTAAGCGTTAATAATATTCCGTGACTCACTGAGCTAACCGAGGCTAACGTTTAATTTTAATTTTTATAACACCGCCGTTGTATGTAAATTATATAATAATATGTAAATATATCATGGTCGGGCAACAGACGACGACGTGTTATCAATATTGTTTGTGTACCTACCGAGAGGGAAGAGCGGTTGGGTAGTGGCGGGAGCGTCGCGGCAACAGGACTATGTTATAAGCACTGTAACGTTTCACTTTTGCAGCAGTTTGCATGCGATTCGCCTTCATCGGTTTGTTTGACGATCACTACGAATACACTATTCAGAAGAAGAAGCAATTGGAAGTGACTATGGAAACGAAAATGGAAGTCACCGTCCCGGAAGCGCCCCGAATGGTCGCGTGGCAGATGGACGCGTACGGCACGTACGAAGACTTAAAGGCCAATGACCAAGTGCCGGCGCCCACCGAGGTCGGACCCAAAGAAGTATTGGTGCGCATCAAAGCGTCGTCCGTCAATCCCATCGACGTTCTAATGGCCGGTAAGTCGGAGCGTCTCGTACAGCCAGCACTATAGGGTTTACAAGTTGTAGGGTTGGACTGCAGTGTCGTACCCAGCGAAATCGGTACAAGGCGCTAGAAAAATTTACCGAGCAGAAAATAAAAATAAAAAGGGGGCACCTCTCGCACCTCCCTAGAGACACCACTGGGTCGGGATGTAGTTATCGGGTTAAAAGCAATACTTCCGCGTTCGACCAGTCGTATAGCATTCTCATTTCAACATTTTTTTCTGCGCTCTCGGTTTGTGACTCGTCGACATAGAAATCCATTCTATGTATAATGTTTATATACAAATATACCTACAATGACGAGTTCGAAAAACGAATGGGTGCATGTTTAAAATTTATATTTTGTTAGTAAGAGAAAAATAAACGGTGGGTAAATATGTTTTTATTAATACAAAAATGATAGGTAGCTACCCCATTGATAACCGATAACCCATTGATGTTATTTTATTTTTCAGTTGAATAACTAAACGTTTTTATTTTTTTACTACATTCCATTAAAAAAAAAAAAAAAAAAAAAAAAAAAATGTGTTAACATTTAGTTATAATATATTTATGTCAGGCTTATCAATAAATACTCAGATTTTGAAAAATGGTTTTTATTTTAGTTCATTATTTTTATGAAATATCAATATACGTATTAAGTAGGGCTCGAAATTTGATGGATTTGCATTTTTTTTTTCTAATGGTTACATTTGAGGTTTGTTTTTATTTAACATATTATGTCACGCTGAATTTATTGGCACAAATTTAATTTCGCACTTTTTACATTTTTTTTGGTATTTCTTGGTTGAAAGGTTATTTTTTGTCAATTTCGGTGCATTTTATTTATTTTTCTATTTTTTTGTAGGTAGGTATATATATATTTTTTTTTTGTTTAAAGTCGGAGCTATAATGAGGAAGGCGTGAGTGCACGCAGTTCATTTTCGGCTTGCCTCGGCTTAAAGCACAATCACGTACTCCCATATAAACATAAAATGTACAAAAGTAATTTAATATTTATTTGCCTAAGTGTATAATTTTAATTTAACTAATTTTTACAGTTTAATTAGAAAAAAAAATAAGAAACTAGAAAAATAAAAACCGAAAAGAAAGAATATTTATTTTAAGTATGATAAAAGGTTCTTTGTATTAAGTTTATGTAATATTTTAAAATTAAATAACCAACATATTATTTTTGATAGCATTATTGATGTGTTTCAACACCTTTTCAAAGAAACTAATTTTTTTTTTTTTAGGTAATTTGTTAACATTTTTGTGAATTTTTTTCAAGATTTTTAGGTTATCAAGTTCCGGGCCTTAATAATAAGTGTAGAAACTTTTATTTTATTTTTTTTTTAAATTTTGCTAGACATTAATTTAAATACATATATTATAATAAATTAAAAATATGTTTTCTTCCATTTGAGCATAATTGGGTAGTTGATATTTATGGGGTGTTAAAACATACGCGGCATAACCCGTATAGATAGATATGTGTGTACTTTTCTACCAGAAATCGTGCTCTGATTATCAACTTAAGGATGGTTTGTTCTGGAACCGAATTTTGTCTAGTTTGTGCGTTGGGGACATTTTGGTTTTCCTTGTAGTTTTCTTAATAATTAGGAAACTCTCGTCGGAAAAACGAGAATATATATAATATTATAAGTATATTATATGCAATAAGTACTTAATAACAGTTTCTTTATTAAAATTCGGTGAAAAAAAATTGTAGGCCTAAAATTTGAATCGGGTATTTTTTATTATTACCTATATTACCTATTATTACCTATATTACCTATTATTACCTATTGTTAATTTCCAATCCCTTGTATCCAATCCCTCTTATAACTTACGCGACAGCCATAAATCGTTTACAACTTTATAACTCGTGTGTATGTGTTTTTTTTTTTTTTTTTTTTTTTTTTTTAATATTCAACCAGAGGGCTATGGTAAAGTGTTTCTGAACAGAGTCCGTCAAGCACAACAAATGTCGTTGTGCAGGCCTGTGGAGTTCCCGTTGACTTTGGGACGGGACTTTTGTGGCGTAGTGGTCGCCAAAGGAGCTAATGTTACCGATGCCTTGAACGTTGGAGACACGGTCATGGGCGTCATAGCCCCATTCAATCAGGGCTGTCACTCTGAACTCGTCTCTGTACCCGAAGCTCAAGTAAACCTACCTACCTACCTACTTATATTAATTATCCGTACCGAGTAATTTTCAATTTATTACCGAACTGTAATATTATAAGTAGCTATAACTGTTTTGTATTATTAATGACGGAAAATACTTTCCTTTTATTATAAATATTTTGTTTCAACATAATTATTTTAATTGAACTTAATGATACACAATAATTTTAAATAATAAAATAATAAAATGAAACAAAATTATTAAAATGGTTAATAGTCGTAAATAAATAAAGTAAATAAATATGGTAAACACATATATATATATAACTAATTTTAAATAATCTCTCCTATTAAAATAAATTATTTCTATATTTTATGTAAAACGACCAATAAAATGTATAATGTATGTATGTATTAATTAAGTAATTTTATTTTTATGCATACATTTTTTATTTATCATATTTATTTACTTTATTTAATAATTTTAAGTCGGTATTTAAACGACGAGTGATAAAAACGATTCTTATAATAGGTAATCAAAAAACCAGAAAACTTATCCGACGAGGAAGCGGCAGGCTTACTGTACACCGGCCTAACCGTGTGGTGTGCGTTAAAATTGGCTGGCGGTTTGTACGTTTTTAACGCTGCCGGTAAAAATGTGCTGGTTATCGGTGGATCTGGCGGCGTTGGAAATTGTGCCATACAATTACTACACTGTTGGGGCGCTAAGGTATTGTAGAAACAAAAAAAAATCATAATATTCGACCTGTTAGATCAGTATAATATATAACGAATAATTAGGCAACACGCACATTTAATATCATTATCATTATAGTTACCTAGTAATTTTAAAGTTTCCCGAGTATTTTTGTGAAATATTAATTTAATTCAACCTTGGCTATGAGTGATAATCTTATTTTTATTTTTAGTTTTTACACAAACACTTACTAATAACTCGCATATCCATATTATATAATATTTTTTGTTAAGTATCTCTTAAAATCGACATATTTTCGATTTAATTTTTCGTATTCATAACATAAATTATTGTAGTTTATGTGGACACCTAAGTTAAATGCATTTCGTAAAACATTAAAAAAATATAATTTGTTACTATGCGTGTTTTTCTAGGTAAAATATTCTAATTTTCAATTTAAAATAAATTATATAAATTATTATACTTTCGAAATTTTCAAGACTTCAAACAATAATTAAACCGAAATCTGTTCAAATTAATGCAAGTTAAATTTATTACATCGGTATCCAAGATCAAATTACTCAGGTGCCAACCGAAATAAATAGTAACTGATCAACACCAATAAGACCATTAACCATTAATCGGTAATATTATTATATTCATAAATATTGACAGTTAGAATTAACTTGCAGTAGAAAAAAAAACCTCGTTAATTAAAACCGAAATTCCCTATTTGTTATCATAATATTTTAAATTTTAATGAGTATACAAAGTACCTATACGTCATAGCTTTTATATCCGTGTACCGTGTATGTATCATGTTTAAAAATGTTTTATCATCACCAATAATATCTAAGCAACAAAATATTTAATATGCATGAAAATACTCATGACTTTTAAGTTGATTTTATCGAAACTATATACCAAGAATAATAATATATAACCTTTTTCAAAGAAAACAATTTAGAATGTATTTTGAAAAGTGTAGTGGAGTATTATTGGATGCAACATTGATATTATGTATATTATATGTCTCTGAACAGTCTGAACTCGTGATGTCTTCTGGGAAACGTCAAATAACTTTTAAAGTACACTTGTACAGTTTTCGTTACCTACTACAATTTGCATATACATATATGACATAAGAAAAAATAAATTTAACTTTATAAGATATTACTTATAAAGTAACATTTTTCAGAAATTTACTACTAATAATTTTCTGAAACATAAATAATAAACTAAAACGAATAAGGCCGTCAAATACAAATTGTTAAGGTCATTTTGACAAAAAAAAAAAAAAAAAACCATTACCTACGTACATTTTGTTAATCCAGTAAATTATATATTTTGAATAACAAGATTATTAAAACAGGTTTTTTTTCTTCATTGGAAATTACCTACTTCATATTTTTAAATTTCAAAAAAATAGATTAAAATTAATGTATTATATTTCAATTTAATGAGTTACTACGTGTACTTCCTTGTTGGTTTTCAATAATAGTTTTAAAGTTCTATCATTTTATGTTAAACGTTTTATTAAATATATCTAGTGCATCAATCTGTTTTTCCTCAAAAGATTTTTGACCAATGCCATTTCCCGAAAAGTTGATTTTTTCAATATTTAATTTTGTGAAAAGTAAGCATATAAAGTATAAAAAGTGATATAATATGATAGTTTTCGTCGGAGGTCGATACATGACAGTAAATGTTATAGATCTGATGGGTTTTTTTTAATCGGTGTGCTTTTTCATGCCTATTCGATATCTACTTACATCGATGATAAGTGATAACTTCCGGGATATGTTTTATTATTATACCACGTTTAAAAATGATACCAAATTGATAAGTAATACATTTTTTTGTTTTATACCAAATTCGTAATTTCTATTATTATGTTGAAAATTGTATATCTTTTATTTGAAAACAATCAATCAGTTTACGAAAAATTATATTCACATATTATTATTGTTCACAATACAACACACACACACACACACACACACACACACACAAAAGTTTAGGTAGCTACTAGCTACATTTAAATGTTGTAATAATATATTTTATTTTTAAATAGGACTAGAATAGATTTATTTGAGTTACAAAATTAATGCCTAATTATTGTGATACATAATTTGAACAAGTACCTAATTGAAATAAAAAATACATACACCTAAACATATGATAAACTAGGAAAATTTAAAAGTAATTTATAATTTTACCATATGCCAGTTTATGCAGTGTACATAATTTAACAATAATTTTACCAAATGGTGGTATTAAACGAACAAATAAAAACACCAGAAAAAAACAGTAAAATGATAAAAAATTAATTGAATACCGATAACGATATTGAATAAATCCATGAAACAGCACCTCGCCGGTAATCTGTCATTTACGAACATGTATTTGATATAGATATTAAATGTACGTATTAATTAAATATTAAGTAGACAAAATTAGGTAAACACCTACTCGGGCATAAAAACGAAAAATATTTTTGAATTTTAAATTATGACCAATGGCCACAGGTTATGCAATTATATAATTACAATTTTTTTTTGAGACAATTATTTTGGACAAATCAATCACAATCAATATTTGTAGGTAGATATGGATATTTTGGTACCTATTTAAATACTGAAAATTGAATCAGGAGTTGATTAGGACAAATTATATCGCTATACGTATATTTTAAATATTACTAATTGTTTTATGTATTTAGGTCACTACTACTTGCAGTACAAATGCCATTAATCTCGTAAAAGGACTTATACCAGATAATATTGTAGACTATACTACCGAAGATGCGCACAAACAGTTGGAAAAATATGGAAAGTACGTTTATTCTTTAAAGATGTTTATTTTATTTATTTATTTTTTCCGTGGACAAATTTTCTACCAGAGATCTCACTCCGATTTTTAAGTGTAGCATCTTTTCTGGAAGAAAATCGGTTTGAGAAGGTATTTATTGGGAAGGTGGTAATTTTCCGATTTTCTAATGGGTTTTCTCATCAAATATGAAAAACCGAAAAAAAAATTAGGAAAAACGGGAAAATGTAAAAAATTTAGGTATTAGTTAAAAATATTATGGCCTTCTTTTTTCCTACGCACAACTTTTCTACCAGCAATTTTGCTCCAATTTTTTAATGATAACAAGTTTTCAAAGGAAATTTTATTGGGAATATACTTTAGAAAGGTCATTTTTTGATTTTCCCAAGAGTTTTCTCAGTAAATGTGAAAGAACATGGAAAAACGGAAAAATATAAGTTATAAGTTATTATAAGTTGAACTTGGTGGTCAAAAAAAAAAAAATTAATTAAATATATTTTATTTTTTTATATGAGTTTTAAAATCAAATTTTTACGAAAATCGTAAATATTACGGCTTTCAAAACATGTATAACCAAACTCCGCTCTGAACCGTTTTTCTTTATCGATAGTTTATCGTTAGTTACAGGTATAAATTAAATAATTTTATGTGCCCCATCTTCCCCACAACCCACGTTCAACAGAAGCCTCATCCATCCCCAATATCAGCTCTATTTTTAATATTAAAATACAAGTATAATAACATAGTAAATATTGGTGAGGTTGGGTATACATTTAAGATTTTAAAGTATTTTTTAACGTAAAATAATTATTATACATTAGGTTCAGTAATAATTTAGTTATTATTTATACTGAAGCTCTAATAAAGGAGATCTATATTACAAAAAATTCAAAAAATTCAAATACCGATTAATCTGATATTGAAACCTAATGAATGTATGTTTTATTTTTTTTTTTATATATAGATACGACTTAATTCTAGATGCAGCAGGAATACCTTATGAAAATATCCGTAAATATATTCCATTGTTAAACATTTGGGGTGCATTTATCACTCTTCGTAGTCCTATTCTGACTAATATAGATTTATATGGCCTGATACCTGGCATGGTCAAAAATGCTTATGATTTAGTTGTTCCAAATGTTTTATCTGGAGCAGTGTTTAAAGGGGCTACAATTCGATGGGGTGCTTTCATGCCAATAGAAAATGGTATCAAGGAACTGACACAACTAGCTGAGGAGAAAAAAATCGTTGTTCCCCTAGATAGTGTATACAATTTCACAAACATTAAAAATGCGTTTAAGAGAGTAAAAAATGGACACCTGCGGGGTAAGGTTATTGTAACATGTGATGAAACAAAAGTAAATGTTACATATTAATCAAATGAGTCAAAGTTTTTTTATAATTATTAATAGCTATAAAATGATTTTATTCTTTTTGAGGCTATTTCTAAATGAAACATATATCTTTTCCTATTTTTTTTTTTTTTGTAATATTATATTGTTAAAATTAAAGTACATAATTTTTTTAAACATTTGCTAGTTTTATTTTAATCAATTTGGTAGATAAAACATTGTATTATTATTTTGAGTACCTGATAAAACCTATGGCCTTATCTACTATATTATGAATAAAGAACAACTTAATAAACTATATTATCACAAGCAATATGTAATAATAATTAAAAATTGTCTTACTTAAATTACTGAGATATAATAATAAACATGGAAAATCCTCTACGGCTCTACAGGTAAAACGTTGCAATTTGTTTTCCACTAACTTACATTTTTAATGTAACTTACCTATCTACAAGGTAAAAATAAGGCACAGGATTTTGTCAATAAATTATATTATACAATTATAAACAATGTATATGTTACGGCATGCGGGCAATGTGGAATATCGAGTAATATGCACATTGCCTGGGAATTGTAGTACTGCTTGATTTTGATGAGCAATGTAAGTAAAGTTATACATTGCCCAGTATTGTAGTATGAACAATGTAAATCATATAATATAATATCATATATAGAATTACGGGAATGAAGATAAGTTTTTATTATTATCATTAGGCAATAATATGTGATTAGGTACCACTGTAAACGTTTCTTTTGATTATTAAAAAAAAAAAAATTATTATGTATCGCTTTTTTTTTTGAACAACTATTATTGGAATGACGTTTAGAATTACATTTTTTTTTTTTTTTTGAAATTATTAGGTTGGGTACGTCAGCAACACCCACTAATTTTTTTTTACACGCAGTGAACTGATTACGTATGTATTTTTCTTCGGTGTAACGCCAAGAATACAACGTAGACTATTACGTGCACTGTCTACATCAGGTATTACGATTTCAGTATTTCGGTATTTCGGTTTCTCAAACTTTTCTCTGGCAAAATGTTTTTTTCTGATGCTTCTTTTATTCTATTTTTTTGGATTTTTAAATTCGTGACTGATTCTGTTCTCACGATAATTGAAGGACTGGGCGCAAGAAGGGAATTTTTTTGAAAATGCCTTTTTTACTTAAAAAAGTTTTTTCGATTCAGCAACCTGTATATTATGATAAGTATTCGTTTACTTAATTGTGTATAAATGCCTTTTTTGCATAGAACTATTAACTATACGTCATAATATACTCTTTATATTTATTAATAATATTGGTTTAGGTATATTCAAATGATTTATAATTAAAATTGTGATTGATAACTTATTATTTTTCGTAATAGATTATTTTAATAATACAAGTTTCTAATGTATTATTATATAATAGTCTGATATTCTTATTGCTGTATGCTTTATTTCGTGACTGCTATTTTTATTTATTAAATAATTATGAAATAATAGTTTTCAATTAAGTTTTGACACTAAGGGCCAGCGTAAAAAAAGGCGTTTATCTGATTCTTAAACTGAGTTTATGGCTGATAACCGACCACGATTGGTCGATTATTCTATAAACTCTAAAAATCAACGTTTACGTTGGTGAGAACGGGCGTAAGAGTACACATTTAGATAAAAAAGTTACGAAATTATAGTTTTTTAATCATTTAAAATTAAATAGAATGGGTAATTTTTGTTTCATGACCGAATGTTTTATTTATTTACAGTTTTATGGACACAAAGAAAAACAAAACTAAGGCATAATTATTTTCTTTAAATTCGATTTTTCATGCGGCACAAGTTTTTTAAACGTCAGCAATACCAAATGGGTAACATAAATTTAAAATTTCAACTTTTTTTATTTCAAAATACATTTTTCTATAAAATTCCCTTCTTGCACCCAGCTTCTCAATTATTTTATTTTTTCTAGATTTCACTTGTTCTTCTTCGTTTTTTTCTTTTATTATATTCTAACATATTTTTATCATAGACTACAAAATTTCTGTAAATTATGGATGTTATAGCCGCTTCTAAACCTCTTCAATTCATAATTTATTAATAATTAATATTTTAAGTGTAGATGATTTTAATCAAATTTTAGCACTACATCCAAACATAGTTCAAATGGACTATATTTTACTCCATGATGTATGGATCGATTTTTTATTAATTAGACACATTTTAGATCTTTGCTTCATTTTTTAGTTTGGGTATCTTATAGCCAAATAATAAGTATATTTTACAAATCTTGATTGGCTCTTTCAATGGACTCTTGAATTTATGAATTCCTCGGTTTTCCATGTAGATACAGTACCGTAAAAACCTACGCATCGAAAAGGTGCTATTTTTAAATCTTTCTACATGTTACATAATTCGTTAATTTTTTTTATTTACAAATTCTTGACTATTATCGCTCTGTACAATCGCAGGTGTACTTACTTCAAATATTAATTCATATTACTACTTAGTTGTAGTCAAATATTTAAAATTTATATTTTTTTGTTTTAATACAATTGGTATTTAAATATTTTAAATATTGATCTTCCATTTTAATTTAAACACTAAGTACACACATAGTATTTACGTGATTGCAACAATAACGACACATTATTAAACTTTTGCAATGAACATTATTAATGGTTTACGTATTATAAGTGATAAGTTACCTAATCTACCCATCATTAAATGTATCTTAACTCTAAAGCCGATAAGCCATAATTGTGTAGACGAAATAATCGGAATAATACGGATAGAATAACGTGTACGGCGTTACAATGCCCAATTTACTACGGCGCAAGTATACTTTGACCGGTCAATGTATAACCCTGCCCGGGCAAAGTTAGTATTGTCCATCAACATCAGGCAGAGTACACAATGCCTTAGCATTTCCATTTGGTTTATTCTAATAAGAACGGTTTTTCGGTCAAATATATTCAAGCTAAATTTATCTTTATTTCTATTGCAAACAATTGTTTTCAATTGTTTCACAGCATGAGAAAAATTTATAATAATTGGTACGTTTAGAAAATAAAATAAAACAAATTTGTGTTTAGTTTAAACTTTAAACCCACAAAACATATTAAAGCCTATATAGGTAGGTATGTGTAATATAGACTATAATATTATTTAATGATTCACAAAGCAGCGTTGGTTAAATTGCTTTTAAGAAAAATAATGTAAATTAATAAGTACTCATTTATTATTTTATACATTTGTACACTGTGCACATAAAAAAATAATAAACATCAAGTGTGAATTAATTTTATTACACTACAACGTTAATTTTTAAAATATCCAATAGTGTAATTTACGTTTTATTATACTGTTATTAGTTTAATAAATATATCAATATATTAAACTTGTACTCATGTTACTCTTTTTTTTTCTTTTTAATAAACTCACCAATTACCCTATGTATTCGTAACAGAACAAACGAGCTAGAAAATTCGATTAAAGACTACAGCAGAATACGCTATGGGTTTTAATTAAATATTAACTAATTTTATCGGCTATAGTGCAATAGTCTCTATATTTTCAGGGAATATCGACCAAAATATGACACAGAAGAGATATTACTTACAAAATGTAGAACGTCTAGGCTAAAGAATTATTAAAACAAATTAAAATCGATCGATAGGCAGTAAAGGTTAAATAAGATTTGCACTAACGTTAGATAAATACTTAGTTTTATATTTACTCTCACGATTATCCGTCTAAACGCGTATGCAAACGTCAATCGCTTAAAACCAAACTCATATTATTTTATGGTTCAACGTTTTATAAAACAAAAAAAAGACTACAATTTAAATTCTGCGGTAGTACTCGGAGCGCTAGTGTCCAATACGATTATTTTAAAAATTGCAGATAAGTAAAATAATTATTATTATACAATACTTACACTTGGTGATCACCCACATGTAACCAAATTTGTCATACATCATGTAATTTAATACTGTAATAATATCAAGTTCTATGATGCTATAGAAGTAGTTGGTGGAAACGAGATAACCAGAGGAATATTGTCACGGTAGAAACGACTCGGAATGTACAGTTGTTTTTTTTTTTCTAAAGCGATCGTTTTTATACTTGCACATAATCAAGCTATGCAGAAGTAAAAGTTTTCGAAAACTAAACGATGATTTTGTTCAATAGTCTATCACTTTATTCGTGGACCACTACATACATATATGTTTTAAACAATTTTCATCAAATGTTATTATTTAAGGGATTGAGTATAAGGAATTTTAAAAGGATTTTTTTATTGAAAATATCTTAGAACAAATTTTCGGAATTTGGTGAATACTTGATTGCTGATTTTTTATATAAACAAGATAAAAATGTTTTAGAATATTTGAGGAAGGACAATAACATAGATGATTTGGTAAACGAAGTTATTAAAGAAGATGAAATAATAAATCATATGTATGGGCACAGAGTACATGACACGATTGCAACACATGCAATTTTTCAAAAATAATTTTCTCTATTTGGTATTTATTTAAGCATGAATTAACTATTCGTAAACATATTGACTTAAGTTCAAATAATCAACAACTACTAATGTTGCGTGCAACTGATGTCCCAGAATTTGGCTGGTTATTAAGAATCAAATATAAAACTGTCGCATGACTTTTAAAACGAAATTTGATTAATATTGGCCTAAAATATAAAGTTAAAGTTAATTTCTGAAACTAAAAGTGTTTTTTGTTATTTTCCATTATAATGGACATAACCAATGACATTTCTAGTAGAGAGCAAGTCGATAGTAATTTTTTTTTTGCTACAGTATTTATCGTTTAGCTAACGGACACATTAGAACCATACCAATTATGGCATATAACTTATATAATATGCGTGAGTTTTTTCACGTTAACGACAATTATTATAAACTTTAGGTGATATTTAACTAAAAATGACGAACCATATTATTGATAATAATATTATGTTGTTTCCTAGCTACATAAATAAACATAATATTTTGTCATGGTTTCAACTGTTCGGAATATTATGATTACTTTTAATGAAATTATTAAGGTTTAATATTTTTTATATGTTTTTTTCTCACATAATTATGTACAATACATTAAATAAATTAATAAATGTTTTTATCATACACATACTTTAAAACCTAAGTAGATATTAAAAAAGAAAAAAAAGAAAAAAAAGGCACTATACTGTAATTATGTTATACTAATAATATTTTAAGGAAGGAGTAATTAAATCGCCTTAAACTGTTCTCTATCTAAAGTATTTACACATATCCATATTAAAAGTTTCTAATACTATGAAAAATGTCCGTCAAATTATTTTTCGGTTAGTTTACTTTTTTGTTCTCGTTTGCAATATTTTTTGGTTAAATGGGGAGGTCAATCTACTGATGAACATCCGCGGGTTTCCCACTGTTAAAAATAACAGTGATTATTCCTGTATGTAAACATTTACAAAACTATTTAAAGCTCAACCTTATAATATTTAATTGTGACATCATATGTATATTTCACAGACGTAAATAGGTAGTGTGAACATTAAATGAAAGATGTACAATTTCAAAGTACATAACTATTTGACACAATATGTTAAGTAAAAATGTTTGAAGTTAAGACTCTACTATTTTTAATTTTTCAAATTATAACCTTGATAACGTAAATTATTGAATTATTGTTATGTTAAACGTATAGAGGTTTTCGTCGTACTGAATACTGATGTACACCTATTATAATAGTCGTTACATACCTATTATATAATTTAATTTTTTTTTTTTATAGCTATTTTAAGGAGTACTTATGTAAACAGTTGACTATAATATAGGATATGTATATATTTTATACGTTACATAAGATGAGTAGATATACCATTTTTGTGCTATTAAGAAAAGGGCAGATAAGTATTTTTCGATTCAGAACGATGCGAAAGGATCTGTTGGCTTTACTGCGTGCGTTTTTTTCGGTCTGAACAAATTTTCGAGTAGAAAATTTGCTCCAATCGAAAAACGACAAGAGAACTTAATTTTTGTTGAATTATGGATCTTGTTGTTGACGAAGTAAGTTATATTTTAATTTTCCTGTCAGTTTTCAAAATAGTTGGGAAAAATCAAAAACAAACAAATTTACGGCGTGATGATTTCATTATTTTACATTTTTACTACTTATGCTATGCTTGATGCTATTTTATTTGATCATTTTTTTTTCGAAATTCCCAATACTTTTTCCGAGAAACTGCGCTTCTTATGGGAGTTATTTTGGGGCATTTTTAGGTGACAAAAATATAAACTCGAAGAATGTGTAAACCTTCGAATGCTTTGGTCCCAAAGTACAATAAGCGTCGTATACTGAATAATATAATATTATAATGTTGTAAAGGCGACGGATATAATATTATAAGGAGTATTTTTTCAACACGGAAAAGTTACGCACCGAGGGACTAAAAAAAAAAAAAACGAATTATTATCCCTCTACGAAAACGCCACCCCCGCTAAAATAACATTGCTAACATCATCGCACCCCTGCATATATTATTCTACGCGTGTGTATATATTATTACAATACGCGCTTATTCGGTAGTGATGGCTGAAGAAACAAAAAATAAAAAGTCGATATCGCTCATCGGGTAGACCACTGTTGTAGGTGGCGATTGATACAGGTATGCGAATAGGGAAAAATGGACGTAGTCGTTTAGACGTGGCCGTATGGACGTCAAAAAAAAAAAATAAATAAATAAATAAAAATACATAAATTAATCATTAAAAATATTTGCAGTAAAATCTTCTGCTGGTTTATCTATATTTACCACTGATATTATGTTCGTAATATAACGATAATGGTATTGTATCATATCGAACATTTTCGATTATTATTATTATTGAATATAACGTATTAACAATAGATCGATTTTATACGTTTATAATACACACATATAAAAGTTTATAACTATGCTAGTCGTGTATAAATTGTGTACAAGTGTACTTGTAGGATGGCGTTAATTAACTCGAATCGCGACGGTGAAGTATTTTTTGTATGACGGTTTCATGTATACTTATTCGACGCTTTTAGCTCTGATGGTTTAAAACGGTTTTTGGCGATGTGCATATAAATGATAATGTAAGGCTCGTGTGCGTACTGGTATTGTTAACAGACTTCATTATTCTTAAGCGTGTAAACAATCGTACTTATATACATAATTTTACTGACCAATTTGTAATTTTTATTTTACGTCCAAACGGCTACGTCCGTTTGTTCTAGATCGACAGGTATGATATAGGATGAACCACATAACGTAAATAATACTCCATTTATTTATAGAATTTTTAATATTGGTTGTCATTCGGAAATCAAATGTGCAGGAAAGTGGTTTCAACTTTTAAAATAAAGGCGACAAAAAAAGAGTAATTTAACATTTTAGAGCTGCTAATTTCTTAATTAATGTTCTAAAACCCTAATTCCGAAAAAAATTAAAACTTTCCGAATGTCTTACGTTATGCTGATCACTTTGTATAGGTTATAGATAGATATTTCATTTAAATAATAGATTATATTGCATATGCAACGATCAATAATTGCAAACGAAAACGGATTTTGAGCGGAGTAATTTTAGGCGTGTATTTTCCCCCTTATGTTGCAAAGAGAACTTGGAAATCAACTATAAAATTAAGAAGAAAAGCAAAACAAACAAAAATGATCTAGGGGTCGAACTGCTAAAAATGATTGATACATATGTTTCGAATAAAGTATCCTACCGGGTGGAAAATCTGTAGCTTTGAAAAATTCTGAGTATATTTACTAACTTAAAGAAATAATTTCCAAAAAAAAAAAAAACACATTTCGGTGAAACTATTAACTTCTCCGCTAAACTCAAGATCTAAAAACTTGAATACCTACAGATATTAAAAAAAAAATCTCTAGAATACGATTATTTGAAAAACAATTTCATTAGGGAACAAAAACACGAGAAAATAAAAGTAAAGAAATAAAATAGATAAACAGAAAACCAAATTTTTAGAACCAGTTTTTTTTCGGAAATCTAAATCGTAGGAATCCGTAAATTGTGGGAACGATAATGTGAGAACGTAACCTTCCGAAAATTCAAAAATTCTAGTATTTTATTTCACATTGGTTTTACAATGATGTATTTTTTTTTTGTGTACAACTTTTTTATCAAAAACTTTACCCTGATTTTCAAGAATAGCATTTTTTCTGAAAGGAAATTTTGTTGGGTGATATTTAAGGCCGTCATTTTTTGATTTGTCCAGGGTTTTTTTATAATAAATAGGAAAAACTGGGAAAAAATATAGGAAAAAAGGGAAAATATATGAAATTTATTATTTTTCAAATCGCACATTTTCAAATCGCCCTTTCAAACCATGTGTAACCGAATTCCGCTCAGAATTATTTTCCGTTGATCAATCTCTGCGTACACATTATACATTAAATTTTCCCTTTACCTTCTCAACTTCTCACCTACAAAAGTGGCTCACCCATCATCGTGAAAAGTATGTCCGTTTGTTATGTTATTTATGACACAGTATTTTGAACTGGTTTATATTTACATAGAATTTTTTTTTCCACATGAAATATTATATATATTTCTAATAATTTCATATTCTCTGTATCGATCAAATTATTTCCCGATCTTTTTATTTGTTCATCGATCGTTTACTACCTACAGTACATTATAGACGTCCGCTTATTACGCGGGAGGCTCGACAGGCATTAGAAAATCGGCTGGCCGACGTAATAATAATTAATAATGGCCGCAACTGTGGCTGCTGCATCGTCGGGACTCTGGACTCGAGGGTCGGCGGCCGGCGGTGGTCGCACGTAGAGGGCGCGTGCGCGAGCCTTCCGCTCGGTCGCCGCGTATCGACCGGCCTCACCGGCTGCACGGTGGTGCCGCGGAGCTGTGGTGGTGGCGTCGTCGTCGTAAAAAAAGCTCTCTCCGGGCCCACCCTCGCGCCGGCGGTGCTATCGACGGCCGCCGCCGCCGCCACTGTCGCTACCGTCGCCATAAACGTACACACACACCCGTACGCGCGTACACTTGCTCCATATACGTACTCGCAAAACACGGGCGTGCGCCTTGGCCCGTTGTTTGTCCGCGATCGGTGCACGTCGGTCCGCACACCAGTGTGCCGCAGGGGATGCCGCCGGGACTGTAAGAGCTTGTCATCAGCCGGGTACGGTACGTGCCGAGCGTTATTATAGTATATACATATTGTTATTATAATCGTCAGATCAGCTCTCGCATATCACAGCCGAATTCCGCGGCTTTGTTTTTTTTTCATATTTTATATTCGTGCGCGCACCCGCGCCGGATGTGTAGCAGCGTCAGAGACAGCAGGACGGTCGCCTGCACCGTGACGGTACCGCGGTTGATGATTACCGAAGCACCGGCCGGCCACTGCCGCCGTCCGCAGGAGAACACCGGTACTGCACCACGCCGTTAGAGCGTAGCCGCGCTACGCTCATCGAAGACCACTGCATCGCGGCTTACAGAACCGGCGGCGGTGGCTGCTGCGGCGGTAAAACCTGTACGTACCGCGCCATCACAGTCACCGGCACGGCCGTCCATAATGGGCACCGTGCTCAGCATCAGTCCCAAAGACCGAAAGTCCGTGTACCCGGCAATGGCCAGCAGTGCCAGCGCGACCGAGTTCACGCTCAGCAGCTTCACGTACGAGCAGCTGACCAAGCGCCGGCACGCCGACGTCATGGCCGGCCGTAGCATATCCATGATGCTGCCGGCCAACATAAATATCAATACGATCAACAACAACATCATCAACAACAACAACAACAACAACAACAACAATAACAACGTGGAGAACAACTGCAAGATTACCTCGGGTGGCGAACAGCAGCAGCAGAAGGGCACTCTGGAGAAAAGCTTGAAAAAACATTCGGCCCTGATCAATGCCCTGAGTTGGAAACGTTTTAGCACGTCTCAAAACAAAAAAAAATTGGACAACGGTATGGCCGTCAACGCCGCCGGGGTCAAGTCCAAGCAACTGTTGGCGTGCCGACAACCGTTGGTGGACACTAACGCTAACGTGGACTGCGGCAAACCGAACGGTGGCGTTCGTCGATCGGTCACCACGACCGGGCTGGACGTGGCCAACAACAACAACGGCGGTTGTACCGAGAAACTGGTGCCCAGGGCTACACTCGTGCCGTCGCACACGTGCCACAACCTCGTGCCCAGAAAGACCGTCATACAGGCCAGCACGTCCGAGCTGCTCAAATGCCTAGGCATCTACTTGCACCACAAGTGCTACAGGCTCAACGATTTCCAGGCCGGCGATGCGGTCATGTGGCTGAGGACCGTCGATCGGAGTCTGCTCATACAGGGATGGCAGGTAACGTATACCTTATTTACCGTATAATCGTTCGGTCAAATATTTATTATCGATAGCAATCGGAATTTCGCGCGTAATAATTCTAATAATAATAATAATAATATTATGAAACGGATCGACCGGATTATGCAGAAACCAATGCTGATTACGGACCCTGTCCAATAGGAAAACTCCGTCCGGCGTTCTTAGCGGACGTTCTGCCCCGGATATTGGCGGTATATATCAACCCGTCGATGATATGTATAAACGTAATACACGACATTTGGCGTTTTATTTCCCGATTTTTCCTGTCACCCGCCGTCGCGCAAATATTAATATTTGTATATCATTACGTTTATATACGACATTTGTATCGGTTTTCGCGGAGTGGGTTTATGTAGCGCGTGCCACGTATTACAAATGTACAAACGACAGGTTCACAATAATATTATTACATATGGCCTCATTGATATTCTCGTAGCGCCGCCACCGTGCCGTTTTGCAAACGATTCGACCCCCTCAAAGTGCCCGCTGCCGCCGCCGCCGCCGCCGCCGCCGCTATCACCACCGCGACCAATACCACCCCCGACTTCCTCGACGTCCCCAGACGGCACGCGGCGGCCCTCTCGTACCGCACCGCACCGTGATCCACCGACCCCGTTCCCGTCCACACCTCTGCGCGCTGCCACCGGATCTCCCCGCCCCGCGTCACCCAGAGTGCCAGGCCGTACGCGTCGCGTGATTTACGCAGAGTTCACCGCCACGCCGCCCCGACAACCCTCCCTACGCAGACCTTCTCCCCTACAGTGTTTCTAGAAAACGTCACCGCCGCCGCCGCCGCCGCCGCCGTCACAGCTCTATATACCACGCCGCTCCCCTTCTTGTAATACACCCTCGTTCTTCGCTGTACACCTATTGACGGTCCGATGACGTGTACTATAACTTAAGAGTAAAAACGCAATTTTCCCCTTTTGAACCCCCTCGCCGTTTTGCTCACCGTAGCAATAAATTATAATGCAGTGTCGATTATATAGGTCTCCCCCGAGTCCAAGCGGAGCCACGTCGCGTAACTCCGCTACCTATGTTTTCGGCGTTTCCCTTATTTTTTTTTTTTTTTTTATTTTTCACCGCCCTCGGATTGCAATAATAATGGCGAATTCCGACGGTTGTATTACTACACTCGTCGTTATATACGCGAATAAGCGCATTGGTAACGGAGGGCGTGAGAAACGCCGGGGAAATAACGCGCGAAAGGAAAATCCAAAAACGCTGAAAATACCGCATGAGAATATTATCGTCGAATAAGAATATTATCCTTCTATATGTTCTAAAAGGTACAAACTAAAAAAAAAAAAATTATCGTATATAGTGTGTGTGCGCTGTGGTTTCGAAAACGTCACAATTTGAACCCTGATTTGTATAAGACCGAACCGAATTCTTTTTAAAATGACCGAACTTGGCAAAAAAAAAAAAAAAAGTCAAAAGTTTTCAAAAGAAATGTAAAAGGATGCGAGATGCCAGCGTGACGTGCTGGTCTAATAAACGCGTGACTCGCAGCAAACTTGCGTTCAGCAGGATCGATTTTTCGCCGTTCGTTTTAATAACATAGTGAAAAAATCCGTTGTCAGACTTACAAAAGTTTAAGAACTATCTGCGTGTTCGTACGTGTTGGATTTGTCGACATTTTAAATTGTGTACTACACGGGCTCGTGTCGCGCTAGAAAATCGAAATAACGACAACGAAACCCCGCCGATGATTTTCTTACATTTAAGTCCGATAACGGATCGGCTTATTGTTAAAAAAAAAAACCGACCTAAAATTAATCTTACTGAAAGGGGAAACTTGTACCGTCATACGCGTTTTTTTTTTATTAGACGCGTAATGACAACCTCTCGATTCTCCGATTCTCTCGACGAATTTAATTTATTGTATATATACTATATATTTAAAAAAAAAAAAGACCGACAGACTTCGGCATGCGAGCAGGCCACTGGTGAGAAGTTGGGAAGGTAGTATATTGGAAATTGAATGTATATCTGTACGCAACGATTAACCGTTGCCAACGAAAAAAACGATTCTGGGCTGAGTTCGGTTGATAGTGTAGCTTTGTCATCAATATGTAATATGTCATATTGTGGTAAAACAATTGCGTATGTATTTTCTTCAATACTATTTGTTTACTATTGTACTTATTTTCCCGTTTTCCCTACGTTTTTTCGATTTATCGGGAAAACTCTTGGGAAAAATCAAAAAAAATGACCTCCTTAATGTGCCTGCCCAGTTCGATTTCCTTCTATAAAAAGCGCGATCATTATAAATCGGAACAAAATTGCTGGTAGAAAAGTTGCCCGCGGAAAAAAAAAAATAAACATCGTTGTGAAATCAACACACTCGGAATCTAAAATAGTCATAATCAAGGGCCTGTACGTCCCGTCGAATTCGCTCGTCAAAACGGATTCGGATTTCGATTTCTCCGCGGTTCGCCGTGTCGATTGGCGTGCACCGGCCACCCGGCGGCCCGGCGTATAAACAACCAGGCGTCCGAATCGTCGTTTCTCACGGGTTGGCCGCACTACGCAGCAAATTTCGCGGGCCGCCGACTGCGGCGTTTTTCCGCCGTGGAAAAAGCGGCGGTGCGGTGGCGGCGGCGTACGCGATTCAATCAATATTTTTCACACACGCACACGCAGACCGCCTATACGACACCCTGTACAATATCAACACGCTCTATAGGTACCGCACGCGTATGCGGCCCACGATGTTCTACAGCATAATGCGCCGCGCAAATATCATAATAATTTCCCGTTCCCCGCCCATTCCGTCAGGTAATCGCCGTGTACGTATTATAATACACTACGCAAAACACCAGTGTTTATTTTTCTTTTCATTTTTTCTTTTTAATGGTCGTTTTTGTCACTCTCGTTTCCCCTCGCGCCGTTTTTCTTCTCGCGTATACGCTGCGCGGCGACGCCATTTTATGTATACATAATGAAACGCGGGCACGACTAACGTGAGACAAAAAAAAAAAAAAACCGCGCAATATTATCGCTAAGAGGCGAACGGTAAGGAAGCGCACGATAAGGCTGACGGCGAACGCGCGTGTCGTCGATTCGTTTATCCGTCGGAGGGACTTTATACCTACACCCCGTTCACGGGCTCCGGAAAATATCCAACAAACCGAATATAATACGCAACAGGAAGTGTGTGCGCTTGTATCATTATAATCACTTGTTCATTTTTTCGTTTTTGTTTGCCCATCAAACGTTTAAACCGAAACTTTATGCTGTGCGTCGCGTTGAAACGTAACACGAAACATTCATCGAAACTTAGCCCACGCACCTCCGAAAATAATTACTATGCGCGAAAATCGAAATGACTAACAGAATATCTGTAGGTGGGTACGGGCGAGTTAATCGTTAGCTTTCGAATTGCAAACCCATTAAACGTTCGTTAAAAGTTTTAAGAGTTTCGCGTCTCCTATATAGCATTATTACCGTCACTGTTCTTCTGACAGTTATCATCTAGCATACATGTATTTTCAGAATTCTGACGGTGCTTTGGTTCTAATCGAAAATCGAAAAGTGACCTCATTTAAGTACCTTCCCACGCCGATTTCTTTTCAGAAAAGGTGATGCACTTAAAAATCTGAGCAAATCTTTTGATAAAAAAGTTGCGCACAGATAACAAAATAATAATAATAAACATCTTTGTAAAACCATAATATGCTTCTTCGTTCCACTCAGAAGTCTGAAGTCGGAAACAAAATTATAGGTTGAACGGAAATTATTTACGACACGCCGCGTCGCATCGTTACTAATTCCATTGCTTTTAATTTTTACAAACTATGTTTTCTACCAGAAATATTGTTCCAATAGAAAAACGACAAGAGATTTTTTTTGTTGGGGTTTAAAACTTAATGCTCACAAAAAGTCGTTTTTGGATTTTCCAAGTAGTTTTCATAATATTTGGGGAAATCGCAATAAGGCGAAAAAAGAAAAACGACCAAATTTACGGCGTACGATTTTATTATTTTAAATTTTATTTTTTTGTTGTAATTCAGTAAAAAATATCGGTGATACACGATTGCAGACGGTTCTTATCTGGACGACATTTTTAATAACACGATTGCGGACGATTATAGTTTAACAATGGCCCCCCGGAAACGACACGATTGCGTATAAATGTTGCTAAATTTATAAATAATATTTCGGTTATGTAGTATTTCTGTTAAACACTACAGTACTATAGTGTCCATGTCTTATACAGTCTACAAGTGCATGTTTTTTTAAATTGAAATTGAAATTATTGTATCGAAACACAGTAAAGATTTAGTTTAACACAATAGAAATAAACATCGATATAGACGACAGCGGAAAGATGAGAACATAAAATGGTTTTGTACAAATAAAGATTGCAGTGCAAGTATTTTAACGACATCAGAGAAAAAATCTATCCTTGAATCTTCAGATGAGCATATCTGCGCTAATAACTCTGTACAATAAATCGAGCGACAGATATTAAGGGAAAACTACAAAAAGGAAATGTAAAGAAAACTTATTTACTGAGTCATTAAATTAATAACAAAACTATTAAACAACAAACTAACAGAGATAGTTAAAGAAGATATCAAAACTATGAGGAAAATCGTGTATGAAAAGAGACGAAAACATTAACTAATGTTTTCAAAATCTTTAAATGAAGTAGTTGATGAAACTTAAAAATTTGCATAGTGATAATTTTTTTCAATTTCATGGTAATCAATTTGTCCATGTTCACGATGACAAAAATATTATTTGCTTAACAATTATGTCAATTATTAGTTTACTAACGGAGAACACAGAATTCTTTGAAGATGGGACATTTGATTATGATCATAAAATTGATAATCGTTGGGCTTAGAGACAGCGTCGCACAACTTGACAATGTTAAACCATTAAATATCGTCCGGAATCGTGTGATTTTTTCGGTATAAAATAATATCTATTATCATTAATATTCGTCCACAATCGTGTTTCACCCAAAAATATTCGTAGATACTTGAAATTTTGATAGAAAACTTAAATTTGCTTTTTCTAGACTTTTTCTCGAGGAAAAATCGAGGAAATTCCAAAAGTTAATGGGAAAGTTTAGTCTATACTCTATCTGCTTTTTAAGACAGTGGATATCCACCAAAAAAACCCTGAATTTTGTAATGAAAGTATACGAATATTCCTTTGTGAAAACACATAGAAATAATGATGTCACTGTTTAGAGAATTATAAACAAACAAATACGAGTTGACTATACATACCTGATTCTATGATTCTATGATTTAATAGTTTCTGCACAGGTACTTTTTATTGCGTTGAATACAGACAAATATTTCAATTGATCGTTATTGGTAATGAAAATTAATTTGTATTTTTTAGTTTAACGGTGTTCCTAAATTTACCAGTACAATATTGCATGCAGTATAGTTATACATTATATCTGATGGTCATAAAGAGAAGAGGATTTTATGGTTTCGTTAATTATTATTTGCCTTTTAAACGGTTGTGTTTTGTACATTGTACATATACAGCGTTTAACTTTTATTCACGAATAAATACAATTATTTAACTTAAAATGTTGAGTTAAATTCCTTAAACACGTCAAATTTCAATTTTTACCTAAAATCTGACGTATATTTTAATATAGAATTTATGTGGATACATTCTATTTTTGCATTTGTTTTGTTATCATATTTTTGAGTAAATTATTTCAACGAAACTTTAAAACTGTATTGATGGTATTAAAACTGTCCGCGAGTTGAACGAAACGATAAGATTTCTAACTCGCGTGCAGTCTTATTGTATTGCATTTATTTTCTTCCAGTTGTATAGTAATAATTATGAACGCAATTGTACTATATTATATAATATTGAATATTTTCGGTGTTTAAAACACCCACGTATATCTATTATTTATAATATGTTAGACTCTGAGAATAATAGTTAAACGAATAATGGTTAAGAAGTCTTTTTTTATTTTTTTTAAAGTTTAAATTTTAACGAAAATCGTAATAATCACGAAAAGCTGTAAATTATATTTACATGTTTAGCAGTTTTAGTTTCTAGAGAAAGGTTAGGATAAAAACCTTTTAGTTATGAAAAACATTTTTATCAATTTTTATAATTATTATTATATCTTAGAAACACGGAAGACAGACCGTATAATATGAAAGTTTAAAATTAATTTCAATTTTCAAATTAAAATTAACAACCAAGCTTAATAAGCTCTAATTCAAAATTTGTTTTTATATATACCAATCGTGTTTACGAACTTACAGGGAGGAAGGCAATTTTTTGCTTTTAACATATCGTACGAATCGTATATGAGTATGGAAGAATAATATTGTTTTTTTCCGTGTGCTGATTAGAATAAAAACATGTTATTTTATTCGAACGTAGAAATGTATCTGTAAAACGAGAGTGGATAACTTGAAAATGTAGATCGATACCGCATTTGCGCAGTTATACACACGTTGACCCAAGTTTGACCCATTTATTTTTTTCGCGTACTTAATTTCAAAATTAACAAATAATATATTATAATCTACCGTACCCAAATTCTTGTTTATCATTTATTAATACGTTATCCAAACATATTCAACGTAATGGAACGTTGCACAAGTTAAAAATATCACGTTTAGCTGGGTAACATTATAAATATATCTATAATTTATATATTATATGTAAGCGGCTTTGTCCTGACTGATTGACTAAAAATCAAAGTACAACCTAAACCCCTGGGGTTAGTAGAGACTTAAAGTGTTTACAGTAGGTGAACATGATTTTTATACGGTAGGCATCTACTAAAGAAGAATTTTTGAAAACTACAGTGTTTTTCATATTTTTGGAACAAAATTTAAATTTTATTTGTTGATTTGTAAGTTACCTTGGCAACATGGATGATAAAATTGTTGTCACGGGCATGAAAACTGTTACAATTATTACTCATTTTTTTTCATGTACTGAAGCTTAAGGGACCATTAAGGTTCAATGCCATCATCACGAACTTTTTCCACTCCTATCTTATTATACGCCATTTCCATCTGAACTCCTTTTTGTAGTGTGTTCAGATCCTTCATAACAAAGTCCCTCCATCATATTCTAGGTCTGCCTATAGGTCTTTTACTTCTCATTTCCCTCACTAATACTTGTTTAATAATTTGGTCATCCGCCCTTCATACATTTTACCATTCCAGAAAACGTTTCGGAAATCTAAGAAAAAAATGTTAATATTATCAGATATCAAAGGGCGGAAAATCCGTGTCTTTGAAGATACGACGATGGGAATGTTTTAGAACATTTTTACTAAACGATAAAGTGATTTTCAAGCATAAAAAACACACAGATATCGGTATATCTGTATACATTTTTTTACTATAATATACACTTGGTATCTAAAACGTATTATGCATGTATATATGTATTATATCCTATTCCTATAATCTAGGCAACTATATATGCATATATGCAAGTTGAAAAACGATACAATCCCTGTTATTGAATATAATTTTCACCGTTATCGAGATATATTGTCCCAAATTTCGTACGTACCAACCAAGAAAATAAATTCCGAAAAAATCGTTCGCAAATTTCTATATATAATACGGTCGATATACTCAAACAGCTGTCGCCAGCGAATATAATTTAGAGCGATTGCTGAGCGAATAATTTCGTTTTTCATATAATATTGGGATAATTCACAACCGTATATATCTAATGTATACTATTATAATGGTATATTCTGTGTTGCGGACATTTTATTATAATATCCACTTTAATCCTGCAGATATTAAGGATCGGGATCAATAATAAAAGGGTGTCGGTTTTTATAGCATCCCGAGTCCAAATTGGATTATATTTGGTCACCGCAAAATCGGATTAAAAACGTCATAAATAAATACGCGGCCCCTTTATCGTATTACTATAATAATAATGTGTACGCCGCAACCGTGTGTTTCGTACCAATATTTATTTTTCGGGGCTACGTACAATGTTGTAGTTTGTTTTATGGACGCCGCCGTGGACCTGCGTATAATATGATGGTGTAGGTACCGGATGCGGATTCGACGCGTACATATGAATCATTTATTACGGCGTATACTGTATATATTATCAATACATAACCCCTCCGGCCGTCTAAAACCATCATAATCATAATAATATTATCGTATACTAATAATAATGTCACGGACTGCAGCTAAACGTACGACACGGTTTCGTTTCGATATTACCACCGCGACACGCGTTACATATTATAATAACATAAAAGTAGAACACAATGTTTGTACATACCTATACCGTATACAGTACGGGGCCTTTTGAAAAGCCAAAATCAACAAGTTCCATAACGAAATATCAATTAAGTCGAGCCCAGGTGTTTGCGTACACGTTGTTTGCGGCGGACTCGTCGACCAGCGTTGAATTCGTTCAAAGCGGCAACACGTACCCGTTCCTATAATTTGTTGTCTCTAAAAATATACGATCGGCTCATTATCATTCGTCATTTTTTTTTTTTTTGTCCACGTTAATCGTCATCAGACAAACTTAATAATAATAATATATCTCCAGCAAACCATCACTAGCAAACTGCCTATCTTCTACTATAGAACTATGTAAAACAATATTTGACCATACAAATGGCAAGGGCGAGAGTTAAAAATTTGAACACCCAAAAAGCACAAAAATTTATGTTAACGCCATGCGTACACTAAATGTCATACCTCTTGGCTTCGTTTGGGGGACTATAGAGGTGTATAAAGCGGGAAAATACTATACTCCCGAAACAACACTATGAAATTTATATTGAAATTCGACCAAAATTATCCTGAGTTTGAAAGCTCATTATTGGTCCCGAGGGAGCCACTAAAAGTGTCTAAAAGTAGCAGGGGAAAAAAATAATATAGAATAGTACACAACACAGTGCAAGGAATTTCACATAAATTACCCCCCCCCTAAAATACACCAGCCATATAAAATTTGCTACCAGAAACCTCAATCACTGAAGTTGATGACCGGAGCAATTTTTTCGCAGACAGGAAAAAAAACACTCACATCATAGTAAAACTGCAAATACATTCACCGTTTCGTTCTGAATCTCAAATATAAAACACGCGAATCCATAAACGAGTTCTTTTCTAAATCTCGTAGTTAAAATTCTAGAAATCACTACAGACACCAATGCCAATACAAATGGTTCTTAGTGTTGAAAGTTTTTGAGCGTAAATCGATTGGATATTTCGATAGTGATGAAACGCTGTCGTAATTAAAAACACGCTACGCTCGTAAATATTCTTTACGATTCGTTTTTTAATTTAATTTAATGAAATATTATATAACGTGCGGGGGACAACCGCGTTCTAAAGTCTCTTATTCATGTTGTTTTATCGATTTCGCCGACAAACCGCAGAGCTGCAGACCACAAAATAATGCGCATTTTGGTCGAAAAACAACTGTATAATAAAACGCGGGTAACGGTCGACGGCGGCGGGTAGTAGCTAGTTGTTTCCCGCACAGGGGTTTAAGGGATTTCATCGAAATCGTGCAGACGGTTTCTGCTGCGGGAATTTACCAAAACTAAATAATCGAACCGACCGAATCCCCCATCAACTGATTAAACAACACTTGATACATATATAATATGTACGGGGTCTTCCGAATTCCAAAATAGAAGGAGTATAATCTAGAGTGCCCATGTTGTTACACTCAAAACGGTTACACACAATTTAATACACCCTGTGTATACCCCAGCGGATTACAGACAAAAACAACCGCGGCATTGCATACACGATGATTTGCCACCGACTAAACGTTGGCGTTTTATTTCTAGTCTCGTAATAAGGAGTGACTGTGCACATTGATGCTGCAGTTTACCAATACTGTAGTTACTGTGTATATTATCGTCTAAACCGTAAAGCCTCTCAAAGCGAAATGATTATTGTTGCTGTAACCTACCCCTTGTAAGTACTTATATGTGTTTTGGTCGTACAAGATACGACCCACGTAATAAAATCAAATGAATCGTGTTTAAAGGAGGGAGCGATGATGAAGAATTCAAGTTTTTTTTTATTCACATAAATTACTTAGCCGTATTATATATTAATTGTATCGATTTCGTTTTGTTTTACGAGAAAAAAATCTCTGTACACAATGCCGAAGTTAAGTAGAAAATAATTTGAATTTCATTGAGGTTTTTAGTAAAGCTGACGGTTTTAATATTCCGGTTTATCAATTTGAATCTAACTTCAAAATTAATAGCATTAAAATGTAAATGATATATTACAGCTCACTATTTCACGTGTACATGCTTTTACGTATTCACATAAAATTAACATTCGAATATTTATAAAACCGTGTAGGAGAGCGGAGAAGAAGGAAAAACAAAGAGCTACAAGAAGTGTTTAGTGTAGAAACGATTAAGAAAGGAAGGCTGCGCTGGGCAGGATATGCAATGAGGAGCCAGAAATTTCTATTAAGTACGGTATGGGAACAGAATACGGTAGGAAAAAGACCCTTGAGAAGACCAAAATTGAGATGGGAAGATATAGTTATGAGGGATGTGGAAGAATTAGGAGGTGAAGAAAATTTAAATGATTTGACAATGAATAGAATCGGCTGGAGAATTGGTTGTGAGACGGGATGGCCCTAGTGGCTGGATAACCCAAAAGAAAGAAAGATAAAACCGAGTAGTTAAAAAATCATTGTACACGCGTAATTATTCTCATGTATGTTTGCGTTTACGTTATTTGCGTATTTCACGTTATTTTCATGTGTACACGTAATTTACGTTTTTAATCGAGACCTAGTCAGTGGCATGGCAAACTATTATAAATGGGCCAATTTTTTTTCATATGACACTCACCACCTTTGTTTTATGTCAATCGGATTACTTTTTTTTGCTCATACAGTTCATAGAAATGATTACGTGTAACTTTAGTATACCAGGTGATCTATTTAAGTGGGTACATTCATTATCTCGGAAAGTATTAACTTTTTCGGAAGTTGTTTTGTAAAACATTTAAGAAACAAGCAATTCTACAATTTTATATTTAGGTATATAATTTTTTCACCCTTATTTTTGGGGGGTAAAATCACTATTTACTTGATTTTCAAGTGGCGACATATATTAAAAAGTAATAAATAGATGAAGTATCAATTAAAATAAGGTTTAGTGTTATTTCTGTCAAGTTGTTGACGAGATATTCCACTTTTAAGTTTAGGTTGGAGGAGAGTAGTAATGCATTATTAACACGCTATACTAATAATAAATTAACATTACGATACTATGAAAGAAATAATCCAAATATCGCAATTAATATTTTCGTTGGCCTGAAACTTGGGATCCATTCGCCCATCAACCATTCACCACGTACTAAAAATATCTCGGGCTATGGCCCCTAAATAATACTATCTAATACTATCGTCACGCTACCGGCTCAAGTATATTGGACGTACGTGCGATAGTATCGTGACTGAATATTCGCATTTTCACCTTATTATGATTACAGAGTACGTATATACACGTGATAGTAATAAATTATCGTCCACGTTTTAACGTTCCGTCAAAGGTATTTTTGTACAATATGTTTATCGTAAATTTAAACGTTTTTAATAACTGTTGTGCCGCGGCTAAAACCGGCTGATAATAATATAATAGCATTTAGCCGTAATTACATTAACGTGGGTATTTTCATTTTACCGTGTAGCGGAAAATTCACGCCACTTATATTTTTATCAAATTTAACCCGACGTATATATTATTATACGTACAAATATAAATAAAATATGGAATTTAATATTTCGGAAAAAAAAAAATAAATTAACTGCGCAAAATATGCATACCACGTTTCCAATATTTTCTGCGTAGTTACCAAATAAATACCTATGTGTTTATGTATACAACAGGATGCTCGGGAAACAATTTCATATTCTCGAATTTTCAGTCGAAAACAAGGTGCACAATATGGAATATTTCATTTGACCCCATTCTTTTGAAATTACCGTTCGTCTTTGTTGACGTCAGCGGCAGCGTATTTATATATCCGGATTCCCGGTCGATTTTGAAACGCCATTAATCACGTTTCGTTTGAAACCCCGCAAGGTTTATCCTACGAGCGTATATTGTGCAACAGTTCTAAACGTTTAATGTATTCGTATCGTCAACAACCCTGAAAATAAGTTTATCGTCAACAATTTTGTTTTACACGACGTAACCGAAACAGCATATTTAGGTACTTTCAGATTCAAATGAATCGAGCGAACACACGGAACGACGCAAATAAAACCCCACGACTCATGATGCTATAATGCGAAACGAATAAACGAGTTGATTGGGTCGAATTGTATAAACCGTAAACAAAATATGAACAAATCACTTGTAATATCGTTGTGCATTTTAAACACATGGATTGCTAGTAGAATGGTGTTGATAAAAACGTCACGAGTGATGGTGATGGTTTTGGATTTATTGTATCATATATATACATTTCAGTCAGTTGTTCGCAATTTCGAAGGCGTCCAAATTTGAAATTCCCGCTAATATGTTAAATTTTATTCTATTTGTTCATAGAACTCTAGTTCAACTGCAGTTGTATGATAACTCCGCATTTGGCATTTGTATTGCCCGAGAAATTGGTAATCCCGAATGTCAATGAATACAACACTACAAAACGCATAGCTTTGTGAAACGTGTAAAATCTAGTTTCTTTGTTCCGAGTTTAAAACGACAAACTAGATCGGATTCCCTCCCTTCCCCGACTTCTGCGTCTCTAACTACGATCAAATATTACTATATGGCGAATTTCTGATGGATTCCTGCAAAGCACAGCAGGAATTTGCAGCCAACTGAGTGCAATATGTATAATCTGATTTTGAGAATACAATCGCGTTCTCAAGTGAAGTAATGTGGGTGATACATAACCGCCCAAAGAGTTCTAGAACCCGAACTCTTTTTTTTTCCTTTTACAATAACTTGTTAGATCCATTACAAAATACAAAATTTCAAGTGTCAAACATGTCACATTATCAATCAAAATTGTTAATCAAATTATGTGATGTAGTCGATTTTATGAATTTTTCTATTTATATTTGTATTTACTATTAATATCATTCCCAAAGAAACGTCCTAGTTACGTCACTGACGGAATAAAATATATTAAGTTTTGTTCCAACACGCAGAATTATCACAGAACTGATGGGCGCATGCGCAGTAGAGTTTTGTCATTCCAACACACCAAAAATGCAAACTCAAACTGTCAAACGGTTGTTCTAATACGACATCAATCCAGTTTCGGGATTGATTTCTGATAGTTAAAACGGTTTGCTGATTCGAATGGAGAATAGTAGTCAGAGATCCTGTTATCATTTATTTATTCTTCTTTGTTAATTATATCAATTATTTCGTTTAAACGTGTAACCGTTTCAAATAAATTTGTAAATTTCAAAACACACGCATAACAAACGTTGTTTTGTTACAAACACACGATTCATTATTATGAGGTTTTACATTTTATATATGTTCTACAATCATGGACAATCCGAGAATTGGTCCGAAACGCATCCCAACACTTACCATAAAACTCCGAATCTACGATCAGTCTGCGTTAGCGTATGCGCAGTAAATCAATCACAGATCAGTCCACAACTGGTCCCAAATTCCGTGTTAGAACAAACCTATTATGTATAGTAGAATATTATAAGTGTAGAGAATAGTTAGAATTGCGTAAAAAGACCTAACGCTTTCTAAACTGAAAACCGTTTCAATGCAATATTCCCCCTTAGACTCGACACTCGACTTTCGGTATATTGAATTCCGGAACGAATATCGAAAAGGCCTTCGTCAAAATACTCGTTTATTAGCGGGTATAGCGACGAATTCTGTAGTTATGTGCACGATTTTTATTTTTTTCAATCAGCCCCGAAACATAAAAAAAACTTGTAGGCTCAGACGTTTCGACAATACAATTGGGTCACCGCGCTTTCGACAATAATAAACCGCTGCACGTGCTTTATTCGCGACTTTTTACGGACACGGCGCGGGTTTCTCGCGGTTTGGCGACGTATACGGTTTCGTTCTCGTAAAAAAAATGCCGCGAAACGGAAACGAACGAATAAATATAAATGAAAACTGTCACGGTGTTACGCACAATAATAATAATAATATATCAAGTTGCTGGCAATTTTCTCGCCGCGAACTGTGTACACTGCTCGTATTATACCGATAACAGCGTATAATGATACATCATATATATTCGTCATTTATACGATCTAGCGAATCCGACGGCGTCAAAATAAACCCGACCCGGTTAATATACCGCACCAATTATACGGCTTGGATATGATACTATTATATTACGTGTTACGGTCAATGAATCGTTATTTTAATACATTTTGCGTAAAAAAACATCGGTTTGCGCTGGCGGCTTTTACGTTACAGTGGCTATTATATAGACTATTACCGAACCTTAAAGTAAGAAAATGTTATGTTTTCGAAAGTTTGTTTTTTTTTTCTCGGTATTTTTATTTTCAAACGAGTTACGAACATGTGAAACGTTACAATTTGAAAATAACCAAATCTGGATTGAAAATTAAAATATCGTGAAAAAAATACCAAAATATAAACATAGATAATGTTCATTTGTTCGATAATAGGCTAATACTTAAACTAGTAAAACTAAAATGTACGTTTAAATAATGTTTTTCACCCGCCTTAAGACTCTAATAACGATATTTATAAATTAATTATACCAGAAATAAAATTGCCAGAAAAAACACCGTCGAACCGTATTACTTAACTTTATTCAGCTATATTGACTACATAATGTAGGGTATCATATTCGTAAGTATAAGTATATTAATAATACACAACAAAAACTCTTCGCCTACAGCTAAGTGTGTTGATGCTGAACACTTGTGAGAAACATAATAACTGGTGGTTTTTTTTTTTTACACGTAGCTGTAGGCGAAGTGTTTTTGTTATGATATTACCACTTTTTTGCGATTATTATCAAAATGCATCACTGAGAAAATATTGTTTTACAATTTTTTTTTTTAGTTGATCTATTGATCTATTGTTAGTTACACATTATTATTAGTATTTCAGAATACTTTCGGATTACATCCTAGTAACACCTAAAGGAAATTTTAATTTACGCATACGTCTATTGGTCCATATCGATATATTTTCTTGGAAAAAATTCTGAAAATGAATGCCCATAACTTCCGTTCTGTTGAACCGATTTGCATGAAATTATAAAAAAGCACCTCTCGGTAATATTTGCAATGTTTTGACATAAACTAGAAGTCGATTGATTCTGTAGTTTTATAGTTATGCGTGCGCAAAAAACATGAGCCGTTTTGCATGTGTTTAAATCGCCTACAGCTAAGTGTGTTGATGCTGAACACTTGTGAGAAACATAATAACTGGTGATTTTTTACTTAGCGCGTGCAACGACCGTTGCACTGGATAATACACAAAACTAAAGGCACCTCTGATCTCTGAACTAGTCAATCTTAATCAACATTCAACATATTTGGTCATTCACCCACCCACCTATTTTAGTCACGAGACAATCGCCTCAAAATAACCAACTCCGGCACGCCACTGTAGTGTTTATTATGTAAGAGTTTATAATTTATACGCTCGATCAGCCACGTATACAGGTGGTGCGTTTTTAGACGGTTCGTCTCCCACGAAATTTGAAAAAAGGCCACCGTATACTAGTTTTGTCGTTCAATATATTTAATTTTTTGTGTCTATGAACATCCCCGGAATTTGTTCACGAGTACGTGTCTGTGCTCGACGATATTGACGCCGATTGAAAAATCGGTTATTACAAACGGATCCCATACTAATCATTTCTCGTTAATGGTTTTATTTTTTTTTTCTGCGCAGGACGTGCCATTCATAAACCCGGCGAACGTGGTGTTTGTGTACATGTTGGTCCGGGACCTGGTAGACGAGCACCTGACCACGGAACTGGAACTGCAGGCGGAAGTGCTCACGTGCCTGTACCTGGCGTACTCGTACATGGGCAACGAGATATCGTACCCGCTGAAGCCGTTCCTGGTGGAACACAACCGGGACGTGTTCTGGGACCGGTGCTTGGACATCGTGCGCACCATGTCGCCGCAGATGTTGCGCATAAACGCCGAGCCGGCGTACTTCACGGAGATATTCACCGAGCTCAAGGCGTGCGGCACGCTCAACATGGTGTTGCAGACGACGGCGTGATGAGCGCTGTCGCCGCTGCCGTCGAAGCCGCTCGCGGTAAACGCGACACCTGCACCGGTACGATCTTCCGAAACTGCAGAGGGCGGCACTGCGGCCGATGACAGTGGTGGTGAACACAAAAACAGCAACAACAACAATCGCAGCGGCTACCGCAACAGCAACAACGACGGTGGCGGCGGCAACGTGCCGTCACTGCCGTCGATTGTCGTACAAACGTCTTCCTCCCTGTTATAGGTCGCCATCATATAATATTACGGTTCCTTCGCCCGTCGTCGTCCCTCGGGGTTTATCGAATTCATTAATCTTCTTCCCCGCGGCTATTAACGCCCCCCCCCCTCCGCGGATCGTATTAATCAATGCGAGCGGCGGCGACACCCGCGTAACTGGAACACAATATAATAATATAATATGTTAATTAGTCGATTTTTTTCACTTTTTTTTTTCCGCCACATTACTAAATACCTAACTGTACAACCTAAGTGTAACCGTTGTCGAGTTTTCTGTCGAAACCCATTTGCTCGTGTAAGCGCGGCGAGCTCGCGTGCACATGCAACACTGGGGCGGTCGACGGCAGAGAACTGTTGACTAAAATGAGGTCGTCACCGACGGCCGGGTTCTCGCCCTCTCCATCACGAACATCGTTTCTGACGTTTGCGGCAGGGTCGACGAACGAACACAATCGTTTGTTCTGACGCGGGCGTCTCTGCAGATAACAATCGAATAACCAAAGTCCGTCGGCGCAGCACTTCGCAAAACACGTTCCGTTACCAATCGCAACGGACATCAAATCCGGAAACTGGACACTGGCCGCCGTACATTTTAATGCGTAATAGTATGTAAGCAGTTACGAGTGAGCTACGAACATCCGTAACTATATGTTTTAAATGTTAACTATGTAATTGCGTTCTTATAATATAAGTGGTGGACGCGATACTCGCGTTTACTTGGCTCGGTCTTACTACGACGGGACATCGTAGCAAAAAGGTAACAAGGCAATAACTGTTTTGTTTGGAAATATTTCAGGAAAAAGAAAAATCAATTACGCGATGCCTGCGAATGCAATCTTCCCGTAACTCTGATTTCAACGTAAGCTCTAAAATTTCGATTCTTAGCGACGCGATTTTGGCATTTCATGTAAACGATGCGAGTATCGCGTTCTCTTAAGATTCTCATGACGAGCATATAATATCATCTCGGTAATAATCTTAGCAAACGGCTGTTAGCGAATTTAAGTTACTTAATGGTTTTCACCCCCGAAACGCGTGAAACGCATCGAATATGTTGACGGGAAATGTAAAAATCAAACGCGTACGAATAGTATTTCATAATTATTGAAACGTTATCATTAATCAAATAAAATGATCACTATATAGAGTTCGGATTTTGTATACAGTTCTATAAAAAATTTTTAAAAAAAAAACACTAAAATTCCTAAAAAAAAAAAATGTACATGCCGTAGAAAATTTGATCTATTCCCTCCTATGGCATACAAATAAATATTGGCTTTACACATTTTTCAAAAACGTGTTTTATTGTACAACACATTTTGTATGCAATAAAAAATGTATTAACGAAAAAAAACTCCGGCAAAACAAAAAAAATAATAAAAGTAATAATTGGTATAATCAAGACGTACAACAAAACGTTCATATTAAATTGGTACAATAGAAAAAAAATAATAAGTAATTGTCTACAACATCCGTACTCCGACATGTTATTTGTGTATTATTAATTTCGTTTCATTAAATCAATAACACAACAAACATCGTTAACCGACTTAACCCTAACCTATAAATAAATTTGATTAACCTAATACATAGCGATCGGTTATTTTTGTTTTTTTTTTTTTAAATTTCGCTCCGACATTACTGAAAACGATGAAAAAAAAACCAAGAATAATATTATTAACGTAAATTATAATGATTAAACGGTAACGATCACATTTGATACATATTCGGTTAACCTATATACCCATAACTTACACCGTATGGGGATTATACGCGTATACTCAAATTTACTCGATCAAAAAAAAAAAAAAAACAATTTGCTCAGCTTTTTCGCAATGGCCCGACTCGAAGCTCACAGAAAAAAAAAAAAACTATACATTTTATATCGTACGCATAGGTTTAATATTATAATAATATACGTATAGAGGTAATCGCTGTAAAATGATGGCCGCCGATTATTACTCCCGTGTTACCAGCCGTTTGTACACACATAGATACACGTTATCTTCCAACAACTAATTGCATTTTATTATTGATACAGCGAAATTATACTAACAGTAATATTATGTGTGTTAGACAGTATCTCTGTTGAATATTATCATTATTATTATAGTATCCGGGATGGGCCGATACCGCTTTTAACCGATATCCGATACGTCTGAAGAAAACCCGATACCCGAAATCCAATACCGCCGGTTGATATTGGAATCGACCGATATAGATCGATATCGAAGACCTCGGAAGACCCAACGGGGTATCTTCAATTCGTAGAATATTGTTCGGAAGCACAAAAACTACTTAAAAAAAAAAAAAAAAAAAATCAATAATTTGTTTTGAAACTTTTACAAAATATAATATTATATTCTGATAGAACACCTATTGATACAACTATTCCCCTCTATTATAATATTGTAGTTATTCCCAAAGACTTACCGTAACTTGCCAATTGTTTAACTGTTCAACGAAATTATTCTAATCACATATCAGAAAATGTAAAATCCCAACGTTTCCACGTTCCAAAGGCATTAGACATTATTCTCGGAAAATATATAAGGGTCGAAAACCGATTTTTCTAAACACCCCCCCCCCCCCCCCCCNCCCCCCCCCGCCACGATATCAAGTATTGGTTTGTGTGTCGGCCCACCCCTATAACCATTACTCAACGTCCAGGGGATTCCGTTACGCAGCCGTTGGCAAGGCATAAAATATGGCGTTAGTGCAGCGTTCTTTATTCTATTCTATATTACATAATATTATTTAATATTTTTTTATCGAAGTACATATTATTATTATTATTATAAAACAAATACTATTACATATAAAAATAGAATAATTGATGTTTTATCGAAGAAGTATTATATTACATTAATAAATTAAATTAAGCATACATATATAAGTGTCATACCATAACCTACGCAATAACGTTTTCGTTTTTATTTTTAATTTTTGTAATCCCCGGCCATCACTGTCGCACAACATCGCCGAAAATAATCTCTGGTAAAATACACTATTACAACGTTACACGTATAGGTTGCATATAGGTACTCGATATTGGTCACTGTAATCATAATATCGTGTCCACAGTTATATATTATAACGTTAGACGGAGTTTTTTAACCTAACCTCTATAAGTACCTAACCCTACGAACGCACTCGTCCCGGCGAGAATAATACATTTTAATTTTTCGATTTGTTTTTGTTTTTGTTTTTTTCTATCAATATTCGTTTCGAAACAAAATCGTTATGTAAAAAATTGTTTTCGAGGCGATTTCTTTTTATTTCTCGGTAATCCAAACGTGCAGTGCATTTCCGGGCCGGACCACTGCGTTTCCCCAGTGTAATACGTCTTATGCTATTATAATACTGATATTAACTGCAGTGTCACGTGCACATTACCTGCAGCAGCAACAGCAGCAGTAGCGGTCCCCCGTACTTGACTACATCTGTCGTTCGGACTACCGTAAAGCACGGGTTCAAAATTCCTCTTTTTTTTTTTTATTTTTTTTTTTATTTACTAATGAAAAGAAATTATTATTATTATTATTATTATTAGTAATAGTGGTAGTAGTATATATTTATATATTTATTACGATAATTATTGATATTAATTATATTAATCCGAATAGGTTTAGGTTGTATTTGTAATATAAATGTTAAAATTGTTTATCGAATTAAATTTGAGCGGCCGTACAGTGCAATATATGCTTTACGCTGAATCTATAATAAATACAATATATATATATATATATATATATATATACATATTATATTATATGTTTAGAAAAAAAAACGATTTCAGATTGAACACGGTGTTAGAATAATGAAAACAATATCCTATTACTTTTATACGATTTCAGTATTCCATACAAAACATTCCATTACTATTATTATTGCCGACTGTATAATAATATTAATTTTAAAATAAAAATAAAAAAAAAAAAAAAAAAAAACATATATATATATATATATAAAAATTAATTTTCGACTATATTAATATGTTATATTAAAAATATTTCCCCTTCAGAAGACTGACGTTGAAAAAATATAAATTTTTTTCCTCGATCATTTTTACTCCCACTTTTTTTTTAAAGCCCTCCATATTACAAGCGATTTAAGATTAATATTAAAAACACACACACACACACACACACACACATACACACATACACACATACACACACATACTCACACACGATTGCATATTATCATTATTATTACTATTACGTTTTATTAGTTTTTTAAGGCTGGGAAGCTGCAATTCCGTAGGCTTAAGTATATAATATTAATAATATTATAATATAATATATCGTTATTATTATCTTTTTATCTAAATATATATATATATATATATATATATTTACCATTTAACAGTCGTGTAACGATTATATAAGGTTATACAGTTGATTTTAAATATTGTATATTTTTTAACGATACATTATATTTAATAATTATATATTTGATGTATTCGAAAATCAACGGTAAAACCGGTCTACACCGACTATAAAAAATTCCTCTAAATAATAATAATAATAATATTGTTTGTTTGTTTTTTTTTTTTTTTCTTAACGCTAAGTGTTCTTAAAATAATATAATATTATGTTTAGCTTACGATAATAACATTATTATTATTATTATTATAATGATGAGTATAATAAACCGTTACCGTGACGAATGTGGCCATTTCAATGCGATAATCGTATTCTCTCCTCGGACGTCAGGGCCGTCCTCCCCTTTTATCGGAAGATGGGGGTGTGCAATATTGTTATAATTGGCCCCCGGGGACGAGTACGATAAATATTAATATTATAATAACTAGTTTATAGGCGTTTTTATTTTATTCTTTTGTTGCAATTTTCGTTTTTGTTCATTTTTACGTTGATAACGTTATTTTTAAATCGGTCGTGCGGGTGGCAGTGGTAGCGGTATACCGTATATGTTAACATAAAATAAAAATGCTACCAGCTGCTACGACGCCGATCGAAAAAGGGAGTGGAATAACTAGTCATCGTGTACGCGATTTCGCGATTGTAGTTTCTCGTCCAGAGAGACCGTCCGAATCCGTCACGACTTTTAGCTTATAAGTCTTACCGCTTAAGTATTTATATTTATAAAATTAATTAATATATAATTTAAGATTTAAGTATATTGTGTTAACGTGGCCGGCATAGTATTATTATTATTATTGTGTTTTCCATTTTCCACGTTTAGAATATAAAATAATATAATTTTAAGGTTTTTTTTTTTTTTTATCAAAAATATTATTCTATAGATTAGGGATGTTCTCGGTTTCAAATTTAATATTCAGACTCGAAAATGACAAAAACCCCAAAAAAATATCACAACGGTTACTTTTGAACACCCGTCGTCGTCGGATTCCTTTCTTTCGTCCGTCACCGCTCTTTCACTGTTGACAAAAATAAAACATAATTATAACATACCTATACCCGCCAGTTACAATATGACGGCCGCACTTTTTCACTTTTTCAAAATCACAGCATTACGTGATATACATAATAAAATTTAGTCGAACATCTCTGTAATATTTTTTTTAATGTTTAATATTATATAGTCATATTATTATAATATATTATAAGTGTTTTAAACGTATAATAATAAGTTTAAGATATTTACTATTAATGAACGGTGAAAAATGGCCGTTCAGTATAACATATAATATAGGTGCGAGTATATTATAATACAGAGAACTGCAGGGACTCGGCGAATCATATTAAAGGGGTTCGAAACAGCGCGGCTATGCCTTTCTTTGTCTTGACACATACACGACATAGCATTTTAGACAGATTTTTTGACCATTTCGACGTGGCTAAGCGACAAGAATCATGTACACAGATTTGAACCCAGCGCGAAGTGTACACGAGATCGGCCAGGCATTTCTCGGTATAAACGTTGAAATTGGATTTTCGGAAACGATGGTTGGAATTCGAAAAAATGACCCGACTACACTCATATACACTGCGCTCGTTGCATTCCAATCTGTTTTCGGACCTCTTACCGTTTCAATACGTAGTCGATCGACAACCAATCGATGTGTATCGATCGCTACGCTACGTATATGCGTGTTAGACAAAGAAAGATAATGGAATCCGCGTTAGTTTTCGAATCCCCTTATGTTCAATATCTCATCACTGAGAGTGTTCTGCAATCGTATATCTACATTATATTATACGGAACGATCATTTTTCACCGGTGTTTTCTATTTATTTTTTTTTTTCTAATTTCTGTTAAACGTAATTTTTGATTTCGTTTCGTTTATGTTGTTTTTTTTTTTTGAAATGAAAAAAAAAACATAAGAGGCAAGCTTCAAATGATCTCATGTTTTAGCTTTTCATGACGACCACGTTGAAAAATGTCGTCGTTTAGTCATTTGTCCCCGGGATATTCGATTATAATGATATATAACTATAATTCTTCTATAATTATTATTATAAAATAGGTACCCATATATAGGTATCCCTCTCTTGCGCGGCGTGTAATACTTAAACAAAATTATAATATTATAGGTACCCTACTCCTTCGTATACACCTTTGTACTTATTAAATTCTATATATAATTACGGTTACGATTATGATTACGTTATGTTAATGGTTTAGCTTAGCTGGGCTTTATGATATAATATATACCCAAGTGTGTGTGCAATTTAATAAAATATTGAATAAATAATAATAATAATCGGTTATTATTATAAAAATATTGATTTTTTTTTATTTTATATATGTATACAGAATATTATTAATTTATTATAAATGTATTTTTCATCCCCTCCCCGAAAGAAAATCACAGCCGTATAACAAATAGAACAAAAAAAAAAAAAAAAAAAGAAATCAACTATACATAAATTTACATTTGAATGTTTAATGATATGATGATGTTTATATAATATATTTATGTATAAATAATAATATATGAACTTGAAATTATACGGGTTCATTTGTGTACTTGTCTGTATAATAGTAATTAAAAAAAAAAAAAAAAATACATGTGTTTTGTGTTCTGATATACAAATATTTGTTAGTAAACTTGTAATAATAATTAAAATATTTTTATTTTTTATTCGTGATTCTTGTCATTTTAAAATTATTTTTTTACTTTTTCTTTTTTTTCTTTATAATATGATAATATTATTACGTTTTTCTTTTTTCTTCTGTTATTAATATTAACGAGTGTGTTAAATGGATACAATTAATGGTCAATGTTTTTGTTTGTTTGTTTGTTTTTTTTTTTTTTTTTTTTTTTTTTTTTTTAAAAAAAATTTT